TTGCAAATTGTTCCTTCTTCTTTTCCGTTTTTTCCTTTCGGCGAATGGATTTAGTTTTCAAGTTTTCATGAAAATATCATAAATATTACATAAGTCATGGGTGTGGGTTAGTGTCAGTGGTGTGGTGTGTAGCAAAACGCCAACATATCTGGTTTGTCGGTGACGTTGATTTGATCGCTTCAGAAGATAAATGTATTCACAACATGATGATGATGATTATGGTTTCGTTGGATTTCGTGTGTGATTGCACTTTTTGCGGCTTGGTATTACAACAATTTCAACATGAGAAGGTGTTGTCATCGCATCACTTCCAGACGATATGTGTGGATTCTAATAAATATGTAATGCTCTATTACAATCGTACGTCATAATAGACAGAGTGAATCGAATCATCCGCGCACAGAGTTGAAGTAAATTTGATGCGACAACCTCTTCTTTTCCCTTTATTCAGCTCTCGCTCGCCGTGCAGTTTGCCAAATGCCTGGAAGGAAGCAATTGTATTAACCGAAGAAAGAAAAAAAAAAACATAATATTTGCATAATTCGCGAACTCTCCGCTCTTTGAAAGTGGTAACGCACCCTTCGCAAAATTTTCGCGTTGGCGAAACGACGCTGACGCACTGCAAATAGCGGGGCTGCGTAATAATTTAACAAATAAAATAAAATACACATTAAAATTCAATCAGTTTTTTGGTTTGCTGTTCAGTCGTGTTTCTCTCGCGACAAATCGTGATGTGATCATCACATTGTGATGGTTTCTTTTCCACCGTCGATTCAAGATTTTAATTGGAAATATGAATGAATCATGTGTTTGACAGCGGAATTCAACACCGTGCTGCTCTAATCCGATATCCGAACGGGAAAACAATTTATTTTCTCTTACAAATACGATAGACACAATAAAAAGAATGCATTAACAATATGTTTACCAAATTGTTAAATGTTTTCTAAGGAACAGATTCTATCTCTCATTCAGCGAGATTCTCTCAAATCATTCTTGACGTAGCTAGTAAAATTTAATTTTTCAAATCAATTTAATTTTCGTCATTTTGTCCATTTAGTGTCCTATTGGATTCTTATGAACTGTCCACATTGTTTCCATTAATTTTGCATCCTTCAACTTGGCAATTCTAGGCTCCAAAAAGGCTTCTGCTATACTCCGGTTGAAACCAAAGATAAAAACTCTAAATTATTGGTGGTTTTTGCAATGTTTGCAGCAGAATTCAAATTTCGGTGGAATAATAATCATTTTCAACTGTTTAATATCATCGTTCAATACGCAATAGCAGTGTTTTCCCCCGACAAAACGATTAAATCTAAACAAAAACCGAACGGAATTGTTGGCTGTAAATGATTCTTGGAGAGAAAATCAAAGAGTTCGTTTTATTCTCTTATATCATCTAGCATAAATCAATCAATAATTTCTGTGTGAGTAAAATTTTAAATTGCCAAAATCTTTTCATTTTTTCTCGGCCGCTCACGTTGTATGTTTTATCTTGAGTAGACAAAGCATACGGAAGAAGAAGAAGATCGATGGCAACAAACAGAAAACTCTCTGTGTAAAATGAACACGAAAAATCATTAAATTGGTGTTTTCATTTATTATTTTGTTGTTTTAGCGTGTCTGTGCAATGAGCAGTGAGCACAGGAAGTGTTTAATGATATTTTTTTTTCTTTCCTTGGGTATTATCTGTATCCGTACAAATGAAAATTCCGATATTCACATGAGATACATCTCGAAATAGAGAGAGATAAAGGAGCATGTTGATTTTTCATCACGCATGCATATGATTTCTGTTTTTCGTTTAACATTAAACGGCGGTGCGAGACAATACAAAATCGAAGAAATTTGTTATGTTACTCCCATCGGTTTGAACTTTTATCGCCTCTTCACTTTTTTATAGACATTCAAGGGGAGAGAAAATAAGCAAGCTATTAAAATGTTTATTTTTATGGGCCTCTTTGGTTTTCACTTTTTTTTTCTGTTGTTTATCCGATATAAGAATTGGATAAAGGAAATGTAAAATGACATATGAACCGTTTTTTTCTTTCTGATTTTTCCCAGTTTGTTCGTTGTCTCCGTTATTCGGGCTCTTGTGAATGATAAAATTGTGTGTATGTGTGCGTCATTAGTTCAGAATGTGTGTATTTTCGAGGCAAAATAGTGAAATGGAGCAAATTGATGCAAGATAATGAAAATTATGGATTTGGCTTCCGACAAATTTCCCGCGACAGAATGGTTTCTTTATCTGCTTTTTGTTCTGTAAATTATGTGTTTCCTTTGCAATTGTCGTAATAAATCAGGTTCAAGTGACAATGAGAGCAAATATCCAAGCATCTTGATAATAGGCGAAAATTCGGCCGAACACAGTTGCTTAATGAATGTCTTTTGTTCCATTTTCACTTTAGTAATTGATTTCCATTTTATTCGCATCATCCGGCTATTGTCGATTATTTTGGACGATACGACATTTTCCAAGCTGACGACAAGGCGACGTGGACAGCATATTGAAAATGTGTGAATAATGCTCATTCAAGGATGGAGAGCAATTAGTGAATGGAAGAGCAAGACTCATTGTAATTAATAAATACCGGGTTCTATTCGTTGTAAGAAGTTCACAGGTCGTTAATCAGATTAAAACAATAAGTGAATAGTGCGAATAAAAACCGGATCAAGAAAGTCCTTCTTACGAATGACAACAGAGTCGGATTGACCGAAATTTCAATTTTGGAAATTCGACTCGAGTCAATTACGCAAGAAACTTTCTAAGAACAACAGTCAAAGGTCCTTCATTAGCTTTGAATTGTTATTGCATTTTCTTTCATTTGGCTCCATCATTCAGAACAATTCTACTATACCTATATAATAAATATGGTAAATCAGCTACGTTTTTCACATTTTTCTTATCAACCACCCAGGATGTAATGAACTCGTTACATAAGTCCACTTCATCAAAAACTCTTTCATTGTGCGAAACAGTCCATTCGGCACGTCAAAATATCACTTTTATTCCAGAATAATAGGAAAAACGAGAGAATTTTGTTATTTTCATCTTTGCGTCAGTAGAATTGATGGATGATAACATTGTGAACGAAAACTATCGACATCAGTTTGTTGTAGCTTATGATGAAGCATTTATGCATGGATGAAAAGACGACGAAAACAAAACGTGCAGACAATTGTTGAGCGAGCCCTTCGTATGTGTAGGGTTGACAGACTTCAATTGACTGTGAGCAATAAATTACGTAAATTATTTATTCAACAAAGACACACACACACACACACCCTACTAACATGCTGTATTAGTGCCCATTTTAATAGATTCATACGTTGTTTGCGTACTGTTTTTGTTTTACATGGCTCCTGAATTTTGGTTTGCGACTAAAATAAAATCGTCGCAAACACATGACATAACAAATAGACACATGTAAGAGGAGGGGGGGCGTACGACAAATTTTGATTCATTGTCAAACAAACAAACAACATCAGTTTAATGATGAAGATGAAACGATTCCATCTCATCCATTTTGACAAATATTTTTTTGGTCCGTATTCCAATACATTATTACGTTAACCGAAATGTTTCTAATTAATTTGTGGTGGTTTCTGGCGTTTTTCTTCCGTAATGCGTGCTCCTTCAAAAGGGGATTTACGTGATGAAAATTTTTGTCAAAGAACACAAACGAAGGATGTCGAAACACCAATTCAATGGAACGGAATTAAAACTCGGTTTGCTCTCGTTTTTGTTCGCGCCAATCCATCATCATCAACATCATATCATCGTCTGATGATCGCTTTGTTGCATACGCGCGTATGTTTCATTTTTCCACCGGATTATGTATTAGCAGCGATGGCCTTTGTTTTTTTTTCGCTTGTCGTCAGTCAGGGGCTTTATTTTATACACACATCGAACAAAAGATTCAGGGATAAGAGGTCGCGCTCTAATGCTAAGGTCGCCATTGTTCCAACGAATGATTTGAATATTAAGACATAAGCTCTGATTGATATTGATATGCATTTTAAAGAGGTCATTCAGAGGCGGTATCAACACAAAGGGGACATTCCAAGTTTGAAATCATTTTTTTTGTCAATGGAACAATTCGCGATAATGTAATGAGCCATTTGTTTGTGTGAATAAGAACTTAGCCCATTGGACAATTTTCAAAAGACAATCTTAATGAAATTGATTCGAACGAACACGATAGAAAATATTTTTAACTCAATTTTTTCACATTTTTTGATAGATTTAATTTGAAATTCAAGTTACATTTGCCAAACCAACATCAAAGTCTGGAACTGTATCAATTGTGAGCATTTTTTACGGATTCAAATCTTTGACGGGGTTTTCAAGGAAAGAAAAACAAACAATGTGAAAAAAATTGATTTGGAGGAAAATTTCAATTTTTCTGTAAATAATGTGATCTGAATGAATATTGAAAAAAATATATTTCGCTTCAAACATGAAGTAATGTTGCTAAACTCTAAAAATTGGATGAATTTTTAGAAAAGAAAAATGACTATGCTGCTGAACCGATTAGCGTTTATTTAAGGTGTTTTCTATTTTACGGACTAATTATCCATGGGATTATGTGTTAATTTTTCTTCTTCTAAATCTGAATGTATCTCGAGTAATCAATGCCTAATGTTTCAATGGAGCAGGTTTGGTATAAATTTATCATGTATTTTTACCTTGCTTTGTTTCGAATATGTGTTTCTGAGCTTATCAGTTGAAATCAAATGCCAAACTTCTACATTCAGCCAAAAAAAAATTCTTTTTAATAAAAACTAGTTTCATTAAAATTGTTTGGATTTTTTTCTTACTAGTGACCGAAAATTGATGTATTAAATGTTGAAGCAACAATCAACAGCAAAAAAAAAACTTAAAAATAAAATCAATTTAATCACCACCGTAATTCAAATGTCATGAATGGCATTTTCGAACTGCGCGACCCAATTGCCATCATCGGCCACAAGATGTCGGAGTGGTGAGCATTTTTTTCGACATTGACACCAAATAACAAATTACCGTCATGTTGTCGTTCCGTATCGACGCCATTTTTTAAATGGTCTTACAGTGAAATGCCGTGTGGAGTTTATAAAAAAAAAATATATACGAGAGAAAAACTTATACATAGAACATTTTGAAACTAGTTTCAATTAAAAGATTTCTATAAACGAAACACCAATTAACTAAACAAAAAACGAATCGACGCGGAAACGGAAAAAAAGTTGTGTGAAAAGCGTTTTCGTTTATTTTCTTCAGTTTGATCTAGAATTTGTGTGTTTGTGAAAAAGTATAATGAAATAAATCTTCCAAAAATGGAAACAGTTGTTGCTTTTAATACCGAGGTAAACAAAATTTCGACCGAATTTTTTTTTGTCGTTTCTGTTCGCCCAATGGGATTTTGAAAAATGTTATACGAAAGTTAATTTAATACAAATTTAAGTGTGATTGATCACAAATCGATTGGGCCGTTTAGTGTGTGCATCAAATCATTAGTTTTTTTTTTTTGATGTAATGAGAGGGAGAGAGAGAAGAAGAAGAAGAAAAAAAATTAGATTTGTTATATTGACCGAAAAGGAAGAGAGAAGAAGAAACGTGAGAGAGAGAGAGACACACGCAAAAAATGTTTTGCAAAAGTAAATTTCTCAATTGAAAGTGTTTGTCTGTGTATCAGTACGTCCAGAATGGGAATAAAGCGATTGAATGTCAGGCATCAGAGGGGTGGGGTGTCGCCGAAAAAATGGCCAAAATCAAAACCGATCAAATTGCATCTAAATGCTCGGAACCAGTGCAGCAAAAAAAAATGGAATTTTATTGATTTTTAAGTGTTTGAAAAAGTTGTGCGAGCGATAAAGGATGATTATTATGTGTGCGTGGTTCTTTGGTAATGTTCACACGCTTGTTGTACTTGCCCTAGTGCGTACGTGTGTGTGTGTGTGTATGTGTGTACGTGTATTTGTGAAATATGCATGAGACAAACTGTATGGCATTCGTCATCCAAGATCAGCGACAATGGGCTTGAAATGACAATGAGAAGACGAAGAAAGATAGGAAGAAGAAAAAACAATACAAAAAAAAACACCTCAGTCGACCCAATGTCAAAATAAGCTTTGATCAATCGCAAACTTGCCATAAAAAAAGGATGTGAATGAAAAAAAAAAACAGCATCGAAGTTGTTCTGAATGAAAATATTTATTCTTCGAACAATGAAAATGCGCCGGGGCATGAGAGTGCTTTTAAAAATAAGGAAAATACTACAGTCAAAGAGAATGCGACGAAACGGCCCGATCAAATTGTTGTGTATTTCATTTGTCAATTCGCATTTTATGGTTGCGTTTGTTTCATTTCCCAGTGCGTCTCTGTGTAGAAGAAATGTGGCTAACTCTTTTGTTCTCTTTTCTATCTTCTTCTAATAGCTCTCGGGGCTTTACGAATCAAAGCCGCCGATCTCGAAAGCGAAAATGACTTCCATCACACGGAGTGCAATGAAAGCGATCAAGTTCTACAAGCATGTGGTGCAAAGTGTGGAAAAATTCATATTGAAATGCAAGCAAGAGTATAAAATACCCGGTTTATACGTGATCGATTCGATTGTACGCCAATCGAGGCATCAATTTGGCACCGAAAAAGATGTGTTTGCACCGCGATTTGCACGCAACATGCAAACAACATTCGCCAATTTATTTCAGTGCAGTCCCGAGGACAAGAGCAAAATCATCCGTGTGCTGAATTTGTGGCAAAAGAATAATGTCTTTGCACCGGACGTCATTCAGCCGTTGTTCGATTTGGCCGATCCAAATCATCCCATCTATCAGAATCAAGGTACATCTCAAGACACGAGTTTGAACGGTGAGTGAAGCTTAAATGAAGAACGCCACTGCCGAACGTAATCAAGTCTGGTTTCGATGCATTTTTCTAAATTAAAATTTCGTTTTCTCTCTGTTTTCTCACAGGCATGATGAGTACAATCACTCAGGAGTCACCTGCACCAAATATGGCTGATGAAGGTCACACTATGTCATCCGATATGTCCGGACCCGTACGTTGAAAATCAATTTGCATTTTCTTAGGAGTTGAATATTTTTGATCTAATCGATTACTTTTTCTACCACTCCAGATCAATTCAATGTCGAACGTTTCCCATATCGATCCCAGCACAATTCGCCATTTACAACAATTAATGCTCTTGCGGCAAAAGGGTAACAATGAACCGATCGCAAGCACAAGCTCAAATACGGGGATGAGTCAAGATTCGGTGAAATTTAACAAGAAACTACTGGACTTTGACTATGGCGATGACGAAGACGATGACAACAAAGGACCGTCACCGCGTCAATCACAGCAACAACAGCAGCAGCAACAGCAACAACAACAACAGCAGCAACAGCAACAGCAACAACAACAGTCCAATTCAACGATTGACAACAGTAACATATCGCAATTGCTTAACGATCCGAATGTCCTGCGGCAGCTTCACAATTTACAAAAGCTCAAGCAGATTGAAGAATCCAAACAGTCGAAATTGGCCGAGATGCGAATGCAAGAGGAGGCATTCGAAAAACAATTAGCCACCATGTTGAAAAAGCTTCCGTTTGCCAACGAATGTGACCTCAGTCGACAAGACAACCAAATCTATGGCATGCAAAATGCCAATCTCAATCCAAATCAAAATGGACCAATGTATATGACATCAAGTGCAGCTGAACAAGGTAGCAACAAAATGCCACAGACTCATCATCATCAACATTATGTCGATGTTCAATAGAATTTTGGTTAATTTTTTGATTTTTATTTTGCAGCAAAAATCGATCCTGATGTTGAATTGGTTTCAGACGATGGAAAAGTCGAAGTGATTAACTTAGACGGAAACTCGCGAAGTCCATCGATCGAACGAAATCGTTACAGCAAAAGGCGAAGAAGTCGAAGCAGATCGAGAGATAGACGCGGTCGTTCAAGGTAACAAATCAATGCGATATTCATATTCTATTAGAAAGAAAAAAAAATACTTGATCAATTAATGTAATCGCAGGTCTAGAGATCGTCGACGAAGCAGAGATCGCGAACGTCGAAAATCAACATCGCGCGATAGACATCGAGACAGAGACCGTGGCAAGGACAAAGAAAAGGAGCGTGAACGCAAACGCAAAGGACTGCCTGAGATTAAGAAGGAACATTTGAGCGGTGCGTTTCAATGCATTTATCTTTTGATTTAAAATGGGGAAAAAAAGAAAAAAAAATAAAATGATGTTTTTGTTTGTTTTTTTTTTCTTCGGTTCTCGTATAGTGTGTAGCACGACTTTGTGGATTGGTCACTTGTCAAAATTGACGCAACAGGAAGAATTGTCGGACATCTTTACCAAGTACGGTGACATAGTTAGCATCGATATGATTCATCCTCGTGGCTGTGCGTTCTTAGTCATGCATCGGCGTCAAGATGCTTACAAAGCAATCGACGGTTTGAATGGATACAAATTGCATGGCCGTGTTATATCCATCTCATGGGCCGCTGGCAAAGGTGTGAAGAGTAAACAATGGAAGGATTACTGGGACTTAGAGCTGGGTGTGAGTTACATTCCATGGGATAAATTAGACCAAAACACCGATTTCGAGCAATTGGAAGATGGTGGCATGTTTGATGAAGACTCAATGCCAGCTTGGCTCAAGGAAAAGCTTAAGAATCAATCACAACAAAAGGATACAAACGATGCAGCTGCGGCTGTTAATCAAGTCACAAATTTGCCGATGTTCGCTATGGATCAGCCGCCACCAACACAACAGCAACTTATGACCAATATGTCACAAATGGTGCCACCGTTCCCGATGGGCTCTGCAGTGCCACGTTTTATGCCGCCAATGATGACGCCCGGTTTGCCATTGGGCGTACCACCACCAGGCGTAAGTTTCCATTTTCATTTGTGAAATGGGCGAATGAATCGGCAGAATGATCAAACGTTTTTTTTTTCTTTTTCTGAATAGCATCCAATGAACGGGCAAATGCCAATGATGATTCCACAGCCAATTGTGCCAGGAATGCCGATGGCATCGCTAGATAAACCTCCGCCAGGTGCCGCTCCATACTTCTTTCCTCCAATACCGCAAATGCCTCCAATGGTATGTATCAAAGCCGTACATTTGTTCCAAACTTACAATCGAATAATTTTCGCATTGATTTTTTGTAGGCTGCTCCGACAATGGCATCGTCGGCAAACATCGGTGGTTCTGATGATCAGATGGATATTGAAGAAGATGAAACTAACCAACCTGCCGACCCAATGTTTCAAAAGAGTCAAACGATGTTCAATCGGCCACCGCCCAAAATCAATTTCGGACCAAATCCAATGGCACCGAACGATTTTGCGAACAAAGATAATCGGGGACCAAACTTCGATGATATTGTCAACAGTGGAAATATGAGTCATGACAGAGATAATGATATAAAAGATTTCCGCAGCCGAGGCACTGACCGAGATAGAGACAATCGAAACCGTGGCAATAGATCGCGTGACTATAGCAATGAACGTGGTGGCGGCGGCGGTGGCGGACGAAACACCAATTCCAGATGGTCGGATGGACGTGGACGATCACGCGAAAACGATCGAAACACGCCATCCGATGGCAACAATCGTGATTTCAACAATTCAAGAAACAACATGCAATGGAGAGATCAACCACAAAATCCGATGAACTTCAACAACAGCTACATGGATCATTCAAATCCGAGAATGAACATTGGCGCACCGCCGCCAGCACTTGAAGATATGAGACTACCTATTCCACTAGATAACTTAAGAGGCCCTCCGTTGGGACCAAACTGTAAGTTAAAAACACTAAAATCGCCAAATAATCAAGAATGAGAATGAGAATTGAAAATGATCCATTGATTATTGCACTTGTTTCGTCTTTTTTCGTCGCATGAACAACAGCCATGAACAATAAAATGCATCATGGACGACGCGGTGGTGGTAATGATTATGACAGAAATCGTCCACCGGCTGGCCAGCAACGGGATTACTACAATCAAAATCGATTCGGTCCACCTGGAATGAATGGACCCATGAATATGCGAGGTAATATGCAGAACTTCGGCCCGAGAAACAACTTCACGTGGCAACCAAGATCTGGTTTGTAGTATTTTCAACTGTTTGTTGAATATAGACATAGAATAAGATTCATTTTTTCACTGGTCCGATTTGTTCTGTGAGCAATTTGTGAGATGAATGGAACAAAGGCAACGAAACAAAGTCGACACAATTGCATCGATAAAACGGTCGGAACATCAGTACAATGATAATTTGTTCGATGCTTGGCCAATACCATTTTTGAGGTTATGTTAAAACATATGCAACATCCTTTCGAAACGAACGAAGTCCGTGTGACTCAAACCCAATTTCAGAAATGGTATTCAATTGCAAGATTCAGGCAAATCATGTACATTTTGTCGTTTTCCACTCGAAAATCTAATATTTTGTCTGATGTTCGATGGTGTAGGAATGAATAACGACCGACCAGATGGAGGAAACTTTAATCGAAACGATCGAAACCGAAGCAATAACAATCCTCGAGGCCCGCGTGGTCATTGGAAAGATAATGAGGATGGTGGAACTCCGCAAAAGAATCGCAATCATCGAAATTTTGATGGCCCAAAAGATAGAAATAGGTGAGAAAATCTTTGAATAATATCTACGAAAAACAATTAATTGTCCCATTATCAATGAGTTAATGTCAATGTCATTGGCATTTTAATTACCCATTGCACTCAAAATTTCATAAAAATGAAAAAGATGAAGAAAAAACACTCTACTGATCAAAAGAAATTTCATTGTTAGTTTCAGCAATTTCGGCGATAGTTCATTCAGTAATGAAAAGCAATCAAAAGACGGCGACCTTGAATTCGATGATTCAGAGCCAAGAAAGCTGAATGAGTCGCATGAAAGTGGTGGCGATCCAAGTGGTTACGGTGGTAGTGGCGGCGTCGTTGGCAGCAGCAGCGGCAATGGTGGTGGTGGTGGTGGTGCTAACGAAGCAAATGAATCGGCGATAGCAAACCCAACCGACACACTAAAAGTGGCAAATGAAGAGCGAGCGTTGCCACGCATTCAAATCAAGTCACCGTCAAAATTAGCACAAGAGTATAGCGAAAAGCAAAAACAAAGTGACATGATGTCGTCGTCGAACGAAACAAATCGAACAAATAATAATAAATCATCGGTAGATCTGAATACAACGCCACTGTACGATGAACCAACCGAAAATCGATCATACTCATTGAAAGAAACACCCTCATTCGATTCACAACAAAACCATGAAATGCTCCCGAGTACGGACACCAATGTAGTCGTCGCAGAAATCACCGACAATTGCGAACATTAATTTTCGATTCAAACAAAATACACAAACAAACAACAAAACCATCAATCAGGAAATTTTAGAAACAATGCACTTTTGGGACAGTTTTAGCCTTGGTGTGCGTTATGACCGGTTCACCTCTGTTGTCGAATGACGTGAAAAATCAAAGAAAAGAGATTGAGATCAGAAGAGAGTAGGAAAAAAATTGGAAAGAGAGAGAGAGAGAGAAACAGACACAGATTCACAATATCTAAAATTATCAAAAGAAAACAAATCGATCAAGGAAAATATGGCTGTGATAATTGTTTAATGCAACAAAAATGAGAGAAGAAAGAAATGGACAGATGAAAGAAAGTAAGCAAACACAATTGATAGAAATCGTTTCTTCTTTCTTTTTTTTATTGAATCTAAGGGTATCTTAGGTGTGAAGATGCTAGAGCAACGTGTGTAACATGCCACAATCATGAATTGTGTCTCACACATGATGCACACAAAAATGTGGACATTTTTGTTTATATTCTAATTTATTGAAATTCAACGGATCAAAAGATGCTCAATATCATTTGGAAAATCAAATCGTCTTTTGTTATTCATTTTGTTCAAAACGCATGCAATGTTTATTTTAAAAAACAAGAAGAAACTTTTCCGTTCGTTCATTTTGTGCTGTGATTCACAGTTTTAACATTTGATGCCTCCCATATATGCGAGAAGAGCGATTGTGTATTTATAATTTGCTTCTTTTTTTTTTAAATATTTCTTTCAATTTCCTATCTCAATTTGACATGGTAGCAACAAAGAAACCAACGTTTTAAAATGAAACTCCATCATTTGTAGCGAAAAACAAACAAACGAGATGTTTAGTTATATAGTAATTTACACGCGTACACAATCTTATGCATATATAAATATATATATGAATTTTCGGCAAATGTCATAATAAATTATTATTGAGACATAACTAGGAATAAATGATGAGAAAAGAAAATTCGAACAGGATTTGAAGTAGAAGAGCGACTGAAGTCGAGAGCCGAACACAAAGAACCATTGAGAAATACTCAACTAATTTTTTTTTGCAAATATTTAAATATCGATGTTGCTTGGTATTTAATGCCACATTCGATTAGATTAACCATGATGAGCCAACTATAAGGAAGATTAAGACAAGCAAATGGAATTTTGTGTTGTGCTCTAAATTTTTTTTTTTTAAATTTCAAAACTGAAACTACCAATTCATCTTGCGTTCATTTTATATAGAATATTTTTTCTCGTTTTTTCGGCTCAATCATTCATTGCGAAGAAGAGATGAAGAAATAGTTTTCCATAGTAAATTTTTTGCAACGACAAAATAAAATTACCGGACTTAATTGAATTTGCAGTGTTTTATTGTAAAGGAAATTATGTGTTTGTTGAAATTTTTGCATATATATAACGAAAAACAACAATCTAATTGCTTCATATATTGTGTTTGTTAGGGCGAAAAAGGAGCAAATCAAATCAAAACAATCGTTTCAATTTACAATTGATTTGAACATCATGGGTGGTGATTGTAATAATCATCTTCGGCAGTCTATGTCTACAAATCAGGCAGCAATATTAATATTCACAAAATAGAAATCAATACATTTCAATATCCATTTTGATTTGCTACTTTTGAATCAAAAAAAAAAAACATGAAAAAATATCGCAAAATCTATCGTTTTAAGTTTTTAGTTATGTTATTTATCATTTTTTTTTATGTGAGAAAAAACACAAATTTTGCAAATAAGACATTACCGAGGGCTAAAAGTTGTTATGTAAGGTAGGTCGAAAAAAAAAACCGAATTCAAGACTTATTACACACACGCCCTACCCCAAACACACAAACGCATCAATGAATGAATGAATGAATCAAACAATCAAATGTTTCAATATAAATCAATTTAGTGAGACTCTTGAATTCGAATCGGAAGGAAATGATAGAGATGTATTGAAAAATGGAACAAGCGCTTGCACTCGAATTGAGTGACTTGTGCAAGGTACAGTGCTTTGTCTTACATTATTTTTTTTTTCCATTATCAACAAACAACAACAACAAAAATCAATAATTTTTCTTTTCACATCTCTTCCAGCTGCATAGAAGATTACACTATTCATTTTTTATTCACTTACATTTCGGGATTTGAAAGAAAAAAAGAGAACACAGAAGAGCTAAAAACAAATTTATATAAAAAATAGAAACAGTCGCCGAATTCCAATGTTTTCGCGTGTTTTTCGAAGAAAATTTGATTTTTTTTTTTTTTTCAAAATATCAACCGAAAAAATTAACATCATTGCTACGGTTAAATTCGTTTTTTTTTTAAATTTCAAAATAACAAAAAATTTCAAAATATTTGTTTGAATTTCCATAACAAACACAAATAGTATTTTTGTAAAGAAAAACAAATTGTGCGTGGAGAAATTGTTAAAAAAATTTATTCTCTCACACACATGACCTCCTCCATGATGGCGATCACAGAATAGCATCATTATTTTCCTTTTATCGGATGTTCATGATTTTTTCTTCTCTTCCGCATCGCAACCATATTTGCCTTGATCGTTTTTTTCTCCATAAGTTTTACTATCGATAATCAGTCATCTATCGAAATTTTAGAACAAAAAACAACACAGAATTGATACAAATACAAATGAAATTTTCGATTTGGGAATGAAAATGTTGCATATGTTCCCAGCAAAAAAAAAAAGAAGAATAACTACAACAAATGAATATTACTTGTAAATTTCGACATAATTTGATAAGAATAACGATGAAAATAAATGTGAAGATATAAAAAAAAATGAAGACAAAGATCGAATCATGCAAGCAAAGAAGTGTTAATAATAGACATTTAGAGTTAACTACTTTTAAATAATTTTTCTTCTTTACTTTTCATTTTTGTTTATTGAAATACTTATTATACGTTACCCCCCCTCCCCTTGAAAATTATCTGTTTTTGTCTTTCTTTTGGCGAGAAACACACTACCCCATGGATTTATAGTTAATGATTAACCAATTTTCTCTTTAATTTGCGCTCATTTTCAACTTATATATAAACAAACAAAAAACATTTAGACAAATATATTTTGCTCTTATCAACGGAAAAAGTAAAGAAAAAAAAACAAAAAAAAATTATTATCTTTCAAATTCACTTTGACTCATTGGAGATAAAACCGTTTAACAATTTCGCGCCATTCTTGTACGGTACATCGCTGTGTGCGCTGTAGATAAACCCAAGAGGGTGAGCGATGTACGGCACAAGAGCGAACCTGAATTTGTTATTGTTTTCTTTTTGTATGTAGATTTTTCTTTTGAAAATGGGAAAAATTTCTCATTTAAATATTGCTTTATTTAAAGAACAACAAAAAAAAAACAATTAACGAAGAAAGTAAAAAAAAGCGAAGAAAATACATGAAATTCCGTAGTTTTTATTCTTCTTTGATTTATTTTTGTCTCAAGGATTTCATTAGCATTTGAAAATGGGACGAGTTGTTGGGTACACCAGCTAAATGTTGAGTCGATGTGAATGTCGAATCGAAATTTTATTTGATTAGGATTGATTTGGCATCATTTGAAATACTATCTCCCAGCAAAAATGTGTTTCAATCATCCGATTGAGCACGCACATTTGGTAAGAATTGTTCGTAAACTCAATGCCATTCAACTGATTTCCAGGCCAGCCCATTGTCTTCATCCACCTATACAAATTCAAATACAATGAAACGCACAGTCGGTCACTTTGATTCGCCTAATTTCAATAGTTTGTTTTTTAATTTATTTCGCATTTTTCAATTCATTTTATCTTTACAGCAGTCATTGTTCAAATTCATTCGTTTCGTTTCGTTTATCTTCTTATCCACTTCTTCTTCTTCTTCATCATCGTTTTTTCTTTATCTCTTTTTTTTACAGTCATTTACAGAAACAAAAAGAGAAAAACATTTGTCTTATCTATTGCAATACGCATTAAATAAACGGAATAAAATATGTTTACATCTTGTCTTTGTTAAATAATTTATTATGAATCGCGCGAGGGATGTATGTAGGAGTGTGGGTGTGTTTGTGTTGCTCTAATGATGATGACCCATTGTTAGTAGCAGCGGTGCCAGTGCTCCAACGATTAGAATGGCTAGTTCACTGTTTTTAAGTCCTGTAAATCCTTTTGGCGTTGGCATTTGCGGTGATTCCAAATGACTATAGGTTGGTGGCGCATGACCATGTGCACCGGCTGTGGTCAATTCGGGTAAAACATGCACGGTTGCGACGTACAAAAACGTGCCCGCCGAAAATAACATCGCAATACCGGTTGCATTCACCGAGTTAAGCGTCTCTTTCTGCTCTTGTCCAATGCCAAAGTATGTGAGAATGGTGAGCAATGGGGCTGACAGTGAGAAAATGGCCAAATGTCGTCGTATTCTATTTCTATAAAAAAAAATGCGGAAATTAAATATTAATTTTTTTTTTGTTTCGGATTTATTTTGATTAGATCACGAACGAAACTAAATGTCAAAGGGAAAAAAAAATCCGAAATCTATAAATAATTACCTATCGATTCCTTCGTGCAGTAGAAAACTAACAAGTCCAAAAGCGGCGGGTGCTTTGTGTAACATAATGGCCAAAAACACAATCATCTCAACGTCTTGATGGCTGGTCGTTGCTGCGGCTCCGAGTGCAACACCATCAGCGGCCGCATGAACCACTAAACCAATTGTTGCTGTACTATTGCGATCCGAACCGTAGCTATCCTTGTTGCGTCGCGATGAGATTTGATCGACGATCATCATGAAGATAAAGCCCAATACCAATGACAAACCAATTGTGGCCGAATGTTCTGGTTCATCGTCGTCGTGATTGTGTTCGGGTGTTTTTCCATTGTTTGGCGATTGCGATGACACAATTAGATGTTGTACATCGCTACTGTACAGCGCACGTATTCCCTCGGGAATGATCACAGTCAAGGCAGTTCCGACAAGTAAACCGGCACCAAAAACAGTAACCACTTTCAATTTTTCATCGGATAAATGTACAACGAGCGGTATACTGCCAGCCAAATATGACCCGATCAACATAACAATCGTGAGTAAAATTAACATAAAGGTTTCCTCCATCGTGCGTACGTGCGTACTTTCGCCTTTGTGACTGCTTAACCTTTATTGATATGTGTACGATGTGCGATATACGAAACTAACTAGCGTTTATCTCAACACACTAAACTTCTCTTTGTTTTCGGTTGCCACAATGATGCCCTGAGTAGATAACATCAACTGATTTATGATGTGTATGTGTGTCAAGTCGTTTCTTTCAAAATTCAGTGTTCCTTCAATCACGATTCAACCAAAAATAAAATCACATCAAATGGCAGTTGCAATTGGGAATTTAACACAAAGAAAAAGATCTGGATTTGATCGAATTGTAATGTAAAAATAATAAAAACCGATTAATATCAAAATTCGAATCCACCTAACACAATTAAACGCATTTATCGAAGACAACGAAGAACATCCTCTGCATGATAACACCGTGTCATCGTTTGAAACAAAAAAAAAATCGACCAGATTCGTATCGAGTGCGTTGTGCCTTCTTTTTACATTCGATCTTGCCTCTTCCAACGTTTGCACATCGATAAAATTGTCTTGGAATGTTATGATGTTTTTAATTGAACTCTGTACAGTTGTTATGTGGTGCGATAAATGTTGCTCTTCTTTTGTTTGTCTGTTTTTTTCTTCTTTCGCGTGTGTCACTTTTATGAAACTAAAAAAGACTTCTTCACAAATGTATTGTTTTGATTTAATTCAAAATGCAAAACATGTTGGAATAAAACACCTCATCAACTTTTTCAAGTAACGGACAATGATACACAATCAGCAAAAATATTTCGCAGCATTTGTCACAAAAGCGTTGAAAAGAACGCGTTGTTTTTCTTTTCTTTTTTGTTCGGTCGTTGTAGTTTGTGGCACAATAAAATTTTTTTAGCGATCGCTCAATCTATAATGCTGATGCACCGAATGAATACAGAAGCGAACGTGTGTAGCAATGCAAAGGGCTATTTGCAAGATATGTACGAATGTAGCTAGGAATCGTTTTGCTGTGTATACGACACACGGCTGTGTACTGTTTCAAAAAGAAAGGCAAACGAAACAAACGACGTGTCAAAACCGACCGACCGAACGTCAATACGCATTCGAACACACAGCGAAATGTCAAACACACGGTGGTTAGCTCACAATACAATGACGACGATGGTTCGTTGGTTGCTCACGAGATGGAACGCATGTGTGTGTGGAAATAACACACGAAAATAATTTTCATTGAATTTCAATTGGTGTACGCTGTTTGTTTTTTTCACTGCAAATTTTCCCTTTCGAAAAATTAATGAGTCATGCGAATTCAATTGTACAATGTACTTGTACACCGCCTTGAACGCCACTTAATGGAATCAATTATTTTTATTTTCCATTTATTTATTGATTAATTTGAAGAGAGGAGAAAACAAGCGAAACAATTTTATACCAACGATGCCACTTTAATGTTGTTGATTTTGCCAACAGTCATTTTATGTATGATTTTAATTATTGACCATAAAATTCGCCTAAAGCGTGTGCATGCACTTGTTGTTTATTTATATTTAAAAAAAAATCACTTTTTGGAACATTCTCGCCTCATTAGCAGTCACTTGTCACATTGTTAGCACCTTCAAATGAATCAAACAAACAAACCTGTTTACCATTACGGTTTTTTTCAAATGTGCAAGTGCACGATTTTTATTGAGGGTAAACAATAGGTGAGGCGAAACTCTCCAGCAAAATAAGATATTTTTTTTTTGTTTAACATATAATTATCGATTGTTCAAAGCCGAATTTGGTTGTAAAGAAGAGAGAATAGAAATTATTTGGTAGCAAATACAATTTTCATTATATTTTTGATTTTTTTTTTCTTTCTCTCTTTGCCCAAAAAGAAAAAGGAAGAAAAGAAAGTAATTTAAGGCCACTTTTAGTGAAAGAAAAAGAACATAGAGATTTAAACAAGGAAAATTTTATGTGATAATTTCAACCCATTCTCTTGCCAACATTTCCATCAGAACAATTTTCAATTTCATTTCAAACTTTTCCACTGTCTTTGTTTCCCTCTTTTCGTTTGTCTGTCTCTTTTGAAGACGTGTGAAACGAATGTTGATATTGTTCAAATGAAAATAGACACGACCTACGCTCTCATTATATGATATATATATACTTTGTTTTATCCTCTGGTGCAAATCTATCTTATGGAATTCTGTTTAACATCCCTTATCCTGTATTACAAAATATTTGTGAATCATTCAGTAAATTGACTGGCAACGGACAAAATGGACAATGAAAACGGGTTTAAAATGTTAAAAAAAAAAATAAGAGAGAGACTTAAAATACCGCATTCTACGTATCAATCAATTCTTAACGACTGACCCGATAGATTGGATATATTAAATACATTTTTTTTTTCAAACAAATAAAAAAATTTCACCCAATCGAAAAAAAAATAAAGTTAAAAATGTCCATTTTTCCTTGGCCCGTAAATTCAGCAGTTTGACACGATTTTAGTGCATTCGTTTTCTCTTTTTTTTTTTATAAAGTTTCTGAAATTTCAAATTTTTTTCTGTTTTCTGTTTTAAGATTCAGTTCCTTATGCCTATGATTATAGTCCACATCTGCAATCAGACGGGCTCGTTCGTGATGAATTTCTCTGTTTGAGCTGAATATTTCGGAGAGCAGCATCGCCGTACTGTATTCCGCTACCAGTGCGTTCTGGATCCAATTCACCGGTTTCGATTTTAGCGAGAATACTCTTTGAACATCTTAAAAAGGCTTCTTCGACGTTGTCACCCGTCTTGGCGCTGGTTTCTAGGAAAATGAGCTCATTCTCTTGGGCAAAATTGCTTGCCTCAAGGAATGTGACGGCCCGTGCTTCTTCCAAATCACGTTTATTGCCCACCAGTAAAATGACAATATTTGGACTGGCCAACGTTCGAGCATCATTCAACCATGCCGATAGCGCATTGAAGCTATCACGTGATGTTGTATCGTACACAAGTAACGCACCAGCCGCTCCGCGATAATACGATCGAGTCACTGTGTTGGAATGAAACGAATCGAGAATTAGTGAGTGTGCATTGATTGCATTGACAAAGTAAATGCGTTAATTTATTAGCTAAATTCATTTTTATTCATTGCTTACCACTTCGAAATCTGTCTTGACCCGCAGTATCCCTATGGAATATAATGAACATATGTATATTGGATTAGATTAGACCAACTGCGATAAAGTATCAAGTCAAGAAATGATTCAATTTACCATATTTGTAATTTGACAACAGATCCACCCACATTAACAATGCGCGAACCAAACTCAACGCCTATCGTATGCGAACTGTCTTCTTTGACTGCAAATTAACCGAATAAAAATGTTTAAAATGGATTTGTTCATGCAAACAACACTCGAACGAGTCTATTCCATAGACATCAATTCAATATTTACATTTATTCTCGATGAAATGGTGTAGTAGGCAGCTTTTTCCGGAGCCCGCACTGCCAATTATCAGAAATTTAAATAAATAATCTGTTCAGCCATCATTCACAACCACATCGATATCGGCATCGAATGAGCGAGAACAACCGCCAATGATGATGAAGCGATGAAACGAAACGAAACAAAAGAAGGAGAAAAAACAACGTTAAGAAATTAACTCGTCAGAATTTGATATTAATGCGTCTGCATGTAAAAAAAGAAGAACGTCAATTCCAAAACATTGAGGTGTAGTTTGCCGAGACTAACAAGATTGAATTCAGCATATTTTCAACTAATCTAATCATGGCATTTCATGAATTTCTATTGCATACAGTTTGTAAACAGTGATTGAACAGCGAACAAATTGAGAGACGAGAAAAAAAACATAGCATGCGACCGAAACAAGTGCACAAAACATTGCGACCGCTCGCGCGTACACACACACACACAGTAGCACAGCCGTGTGTATTGTTCGCGGTATATCGAACATGGGCAAAAAAAAGTACGATACAATAAAGTTCTCTTTCATTAAAAGTGTATTTGTGCACAGCGAACTTGTCTAACGGCTGTTTGCAATGCCCTGACTCACCCGCCGTATCAGATATACGTGTTCGAAATTGCGTTTTTCTTTTTTTTCTTTCTATTTTCGTGTGTCGTTCTCCAAACCAGAAATGAACGAATGCAATAGACTTTTCATTTCACTTCCATTTGAGGCCAAACACAAACCTAACGGATTTGCTGATTTTATGCTCGCTAAACAATTCGGTTCGCTGTTTCATGTCACAATTTTATTTTGTTCGTGTCCATTTCAGCAGAACACAGGTGGATAAAGGGAGAGAGAGAGAGAAAGAGGGATAGAGGAGATTAGGCAAGAAAAAACGTGCTGTAATTTCGATTTGCAATAGCTTTACAAAGGAATCACCACAAATTTCCTATTTATAAATTTACCATATGATTCAGACATCGTTCGTTGCTATGTGTGTGGTTGCTGTTTATTATTGCAATTGATAATATTGGAATTTCGTAAATTTCCGTAAGTATCCACTCTAGTGTTTTGCGCACAATTTCACAATTTTTTTTTTCACGGTATCAATCAATTTTTAATCACTATTGAGTGGCACATCTAGATTAGTTTTTGCACACGAAAAAAAAAATGCTCTCTTCTTTGCTACAAAGTGATCAGTTCACCGAAATGAAGCGCGCACGAGAGAGAAAAAAAAACTAGTTTTGCTTTGTCAACTTTGTATAGCAACGGCATCGAATTTTAAAGGTAAAAGGTCGAAACGTGAATGATTTCATTCCAAACACATACACAAATACACAATGTCTACACTTCCACGGAATTATTGTTTATTTTTTATCGTTCGTTTGGTACGAATCCAAAACACTCCACTTGGTTTTTATTTCTAAATACAATTCGATTGAAATCGAATCACAAAATGAATTCGTTGATGGAAACAGGGAAAAAAAATGTGTTGGCTATTGACTTTGCTGTTTGTAAACGAAACAGAAGTCAAGACTCTGCAAACACATACGAATATGTTGCGACAAAACAGAAATTAAGACGAGAAAAAATAAACAACAATAACAAAATTGTGTGTACGATTGGATTTTCTTCTATTTTTCTTCTCTTTGTTTTGGTTACTTCACTGGTGGCTGTGCAAAAATTGCGTGTACTCTGTTACTTGGCGCTTGACGTTTCGCAACAAAATTCAAATGATGATGGAAAAAAAGAAATAAATATACACGAACGAAATACTTTTTTTTTGTGTGAATTGAGATACACAAAAACAGAAGACAATGCCAACAATGACAACAACACACTGTCAACTCGAAACCAACGGAGTAAACGAGACAGAGAGCATTCATCCACACAAATGCACGGATGTTAAACCAAACACACACAATTACAAACACACTCGACCAACTCAAGTGTATTCAAACTGAATTGTGTAGCCTGACTTGACACATGCAATACTTCTGAACAAAATATCGCTTTGCGGTAGTAGCACAAGAGAGATGAACAATGTACGCTTGTGGCGCCGGACTTGGAGCGCTAGACAAGATAGATAAAGGTGATTATGGTACATTTTTAAAGCAGCCAACTAATAAAAACAATTTAATTACCTCAATTAAATGATTACTTGTTTAAAACAAGTTGTTTTCCATTGAAAATTGAAATTTAAATATCACGAACGGTGTCCGTATGAATAGTACTAGAATACAAATCTAATACTACAGTCAACCATGCTATCCAAACATCATCAAAACAAATTTCTGCTTTATTTTGTGTTGGTGAACAAAAAAGCAGATCAGGAAAACGGTACATTTTTGTAATGAAATTTTTTTCGGCAAACAGTTGTGATTGGGGAAGAGAGGATACACATTCAAAAACATAAAATGGAATTTTTTGGTAAATAAATATATTTGTCCATTTTATTCGTGTTACATATTTTTGGGCAAATTTTTTTACATGTTTTTTACACTATATAGACTGTAAATCTGATGATAAAATCACGCAAATAGTAGCACAAATGATGGATGACATTGAGATACCGCAACAACCATTAATATCACCATCAGAATCGTTATTGGGCTTAAGTGGACATATGAGTAGTCAGAGCGAATTTATTTTACACTTCTAAGCCAATTTCCAGCATTTCAGTGCTATTTCGATCCGGGCTATTTGGCTGAATTTCGTCAAATTTTTTCATCGTTTCTTTGCTGAAAAATATGATAAAAATGTTATCTATTTTCACTTTAGGTATTGTGTCTCCTACCAATTCAGGCGGAAATGGAAACAATGGCGATCAGTCGAACAAAAAATGCCAATCAATTGGTAAGTGGAACGAATCAAGATATTTTTTGTTCGATTTCATGTAAAACGATACGCATTTCCACCTTAGATTCAGTTCCACGCACTAAACGAAATAGATGTGGAAGTGGGGGAAATTCATCAAAGGGAAGACGAGATTCAACTGGTAAGTGTAACGAATCACTGAAAAATGTAAATAAACGGGCAAACACTTGACATCTCCAATAATTTAAGTTTAGGTTTTTTTGTAGTGATATTATTGAAGAATGAAATGTAATCAAATTATATATTTTTTAGGTTATTCAACATCATCAATCGTTGAAGTCTACTCACCCTGTACTCGTCAAATATTATCAGTCTTTAAAAATACGACGATGAGTGACCGAACCGCAAAACAGTTTCTGGATTATTTCGATAACTACAATCGATATAAACGCGATGAACGTTTGGCAAAACGCGATGAACGTTTGGCAAAACTTCAATACGAAGTAAAAATGGTAGAGCTCCTTGCGAAACATGGGAACAAAAAAAGCGTGAAAAATTTTATGCAAAACCATTACAATCGCAAATGAATTTTAAATGTTGTGGCAGATTTGATTCCATTTACAAACTATCGATAAAAAAAAAAATTCCAACTTTGAGTCGTCAAATGACAAAATAGATGAATGTTTGTTTCTTATTGACTTTGTGTGCCATTGATTTTTGTGAGGACTGAACATAGATGACCGCAAAAATTATGCGACAAAACGAAAATAAAATTTAACAAAATTATGCATACATTTTGAATAAAATTTCTCTCTCTTTGTTTTGATTATTTTACTGGGCCATTATTCTGGAACATTTTAGATGCACCTTAGATCGTCTCGTTAAACAGAAATACATGTTTGATAGAGAATTCCAGGTGGTTATCACACGGGATTTAAAGAGTTCTGTCGTGAAGTACAATGGGCTGACGCATCGTTTTTCCCTGACGCCTCTTTGAAAAACGAAAGTGAAGGCCACGAAATCCATTTTGCAGAGACAGATATGTACAAGTCAAATCCGATGGGCACATCACAACCGATGGGCCATTATAAAACAATTTGAAATAACATTTTGACACCTTCAGTGGAATCTCTTTCACTCCAATATAGTTTTACATATTGAAAAAACGATTCCGAACAATTGTTGCGGATTAGCATAGAATACCAGTCCTGGTAGCTGTGCAAAAAAATGCATATAATCAGTTATTAGGCGCCTAACACTTTGTGTGAATTGCATGTATTTTATGTATGATTGAAAAGAAAACCACTTTTTTATCTTATTTTTGTTGTTTTTTTTTAATTTAATTAATTTATTTACTTTATTATGTTTTTTTCTCTCAGTTTTACATCACCAAGGTGTTACCGGAAAAAAATCTGATCTTTCTCGCAACACTCAAGCATTTTTAGTGTGTTCTTTTTTTGTTTAGCCGTGTGGCGGAAAAGTGAAATGACATCAATAACAACAACGTAACAGAAATTTTGACGAAAGCGATCTTTGAATCGGGGTACTTTATTTGTTCTATTTGCACTGTCTCAATGTGACGAAAATGTAAAATTGTATGTATGTTTTCGTTTCGATCTAGCGTTATAGGTTTTCGAGAAAGAGAGAGAGAGAGAGAGAGTGTGTGTGTGTTAAGTATATTGGGATAAAAGTACACACTTGTAAATAGAGATTAATTGGTGAACATTGGCTTAAGAATGGGTGCAACATTTTTGAAAAATTTCATTGGATGAGTCTGTTGAGTTAACATTTAAATTCTCACAAATAAAAAAAAGAAGATTTATTAATGGAACTTAATATATGAAGAAAATAACACGAAGCAATTAAGCTCTTTTATCCATGTTATCGCTAGTTGATGTTGCTAAAAAGGGGAATCAATAATTCACATTGTCATACAAATATCAGCAAATTCTGTAGGCTCTAGCCGTTTATAAATGTTCATCTTTGTTTTTTCTTCGTTAATTTTTTTTTTTAATGAGAAACCTATTGATGAACAGCAGAATAAATAATGGTTTCGATATACAGTACTGTTTCCACATTCTGTTGCACATAAACAATCGCTGTAAAACCACCCGTTTCATCATTAATCCATAATGTATGAGTTTCATATTAAGTAAAGAAATGGTAGAAAAAGATGTGATTTGTATTGATTCGATGTATTTTACAGCGACCGTTTGAGTGTTTGATTTTAACAATTTCTTATCTTCTGGTTTTTTTTTCTTCATGTGTTCAGAATTGCATCTGAAGGGATTTACTTGCTCGCTATCACAAACAATCAAAATGTCAGCCATGGTTTGTTACCATCATTTTGCCATTGAAAATTCACTCGTTCGTTCGTTTGCTTTTTAACTATATCCATCATCATTTAAAAAAAGAATTTAAATAAGAACTATTAGAATATAGCAATTATGTCAATATTAAATTATTGTTTTTTGTTTTGTTTTTGTTTTTCATGTTGTTCATTACTAAATTTCATACTCCAATTTATCGCCACTGTGTAGTTTCTTAATTTTATTAGAATTTCTTTTCTTAATTTGTGTGTGTGTGTGTGTGTTCAGTTGTTGTTTTAATTCATAAACTACTCTTCCCTAAGCATTGATTGTTTACGCGGCATGCATAGTAAAACGCGTTGCATTACATGCATTGCCGCCAAGAATCGGCTCTTTCGCTTTTATTCCACATCCATTTTGTCTTCTTCAGCGCCAGCGCCGGCGGCGGTATTTTTCGCCTCCTGTTCCATTTGCTGACCCTCGCTATTGGCAGTTCCATTATTTGAGGCCGGTGGTGTTGGTGCCTTTGGTTTTGGTCGATTCACTACGCTATTTACGCTTGCGGTCAATGTATTCAATTCGTTACGAATGTCACTAACTCGAACGGGTGGTTCGGCTGTTTTCGATGAATTCGCCACACGGCCACTGTTCTCCTCAAGCCAACGCTGTGCACGATCGGTGGCCTCGGTGACATTTATGATTTCCACCTCCGTAATGTGATCATATTTAACGGTGTTCGTTCGGAATTCGTTGATTGATTTGCGCGCCATTTGCACAGCATGACCCAAATCGTTAAATGCATTCGGTTGATTTTCGTATTCAAAACTACGCGCCTTGATTGGATCGGTTTGCTTGTGTAAATCCGACAATTTCGATCGATAGATTTCATTTTCACAATCTTCACCATCTTCGTACAGCCAATTCTCGAGGTCGTTCAGTTGTTGGCAGATATTTTGTCGTTGATTGGTCTCAATGTACGTTGACAATGCACCCTCTTCGCCTAATTTCTCACGCATATCATACACATACTCTTCCAATGCATTACGTGCATCGACACGATCCTTCTCCTTCTCATCATTACCAATCATACCAGCCTGTTGGACAAAATAGCATGTAGATTAGTAACGGTGATCAATTTATTTTCAGTTTTTTTTTTAATACTAGTATTGCGCAAAAAATGACTTTAATTTGTTTTATTTCATGCTTTTGTCTGAATTTTTTTTTTTTCGTTTACAGTTCAATTTACTTAAACAATTCGAAAACTCACCTCTTCATCGCGGTATTTTTGTAGTTGATCCTCTGTATAGCATGGCAATTCAGAGTCGAATGGAAGTTCAACTAAATCAGCCGACTTCTTCTTTTTACCCTTTTTGTTATCATCGCCCTGCAAATGAAAAATGGATAAATTTCGTTAGTACATATACAACTTGAATGTGAACTGAATGGGATTGGTATCGAGTATGCAAGCCAACTTAAAAACTAATGCCTATTGCAAGAAATTGTTCCTACGAATAAAACCCAAATTAGAAAAGAAGCTCTATCAAACAGCCATCAAACAAATTAAACACAAAACTGTCGTCAAATGCATTGATTTTTGTTGTTGTTGTATCTGTTGTACACGCTTGAATGTTGCGAGTATCAATTGATAATTGCCCGAAGTGGTCGGATTTTGTGAGGAACGAATGAAAGAGAGTGATTGAGAGAGAAACAGAGAGATCGAGAAATAGCATAATGCGCCGTATTTCTCGTGAGCAACACGAATCGAGAGCCATAATGCTTGGTTGCAGTGGTGGTGGTGGTATTGTATGTGTTTTCGTATTGGTACGTAAAAAACCCAACATACCGAAGAAAACCATCCTTTCACACGTTGCGTCCAACCTTGACCAGATGCAGATGTGGGTGATTGTGGTATATTGTTAGGATGTGGTAATTCGTTGGCATCGTCATTCGAGTCACCCTAAAAGTGAAGAAGAAGAAGTAACAAATAGAAAAGGAGCTGAGCTATGGCTAAAGAAAAAGAAAATTGTACGATTTGTGTGTTGTTTTGTCAACCAGATTTATTTTTTGATGACGTCGTCGTCGTGTGGTCTGTGGTGGACTTGCAACGCGCGCGCGAGCTGTTAGTCATTTGAAGTCTACAATTGCAGGAGTATCGGCAGTTAGGTTTAAAGGAGGGAAAACACAAATGAAATTTTGGTTTGGTTCATTTTTATGATATAGAAAGAGAGACGTGATTGTGAATTTTGTATCACATCATGTGAACTGAACATTGTATTTAACATTCAGTGCCTGAATGGTGGATGAGAATGATGGCGAGATGGCAAATTCGTGTACATCAATTCATTATCAAAATCAATCAACCACAATGTGCTGTCAGCAAACGAATCATTTTGTTCGATGTTTTTTAATCAATGCATTATGACAACTCGTTCCGTTCCCTATTCCCACAACAATTCTGTTTCTAAGCTAATTCAACAAAAACCAAATAAACTAAAATTTGAATAGTTTCCCACCGTATCGACTGAGGGAACTATCTGATGCACTTAACAACAAATGATAAATAGAAATCCATCGCTTAACCAAAAGAACAACAGAGAAGACTAATAACATGAAAAACTAAAGAAAAATTAGTAAATAAATACATTTGCACATTCAGTCGCTTGAATGCATATTCAAATGGGGTTAGACAACGAAACAGAACATAGGCAAACAAAACTCTAAACAAAAATGAAAATCTCATGAGAAGCAAAAACAGAAGCAACTCAACGATAGAGAAAGAGCACGAAAAAAAAAAATTTAGAAGTGTGACATAGTGCTTACCTCTTGGTTAACTTCCATATTATTTGTTTCAGTATTTCCATTGTCAACGGGAGTCTCTTCTTTCGGTTTTTTATCCACTACATTAGCACTTGTCAACTGAATGACGCCATTTGAATTGATGCGAACTTTGATTTTCACCTCTTGCGCTTCGCCGGTTGGTGTTGGTTTAATATTTTTCACATACCAACGGCCTATCGAAATGGGAATTGTTGATTAGTATTTTTTTTTTCTTTCTTTCGACAATTACACGCTGCGCTAATCGAATCGAATCGGAAATGACTGAAACTAAACAGAAAAAAATATCTGTCAACTTACCAATGAATGGGTCTGAACGCAAATGCGGATCAGCATAGAACAGTTGAAGACTAAGTGGTTCGCGGCGTTGTAATGTAATCATACGACTGAATGGGAATTCATGATGCGGTTTGAACACTTCCATTTCGCTACGATTATTCGATTCGAGATCCCAGGCAATTCGAACGGCAAAGTTTTGAATATCTGTGATACCAAAGTCATGCACACGAACGGCTGGCGACAAGATAGCGCATTGCAATGCAGCACCACGAGATACAGCCTCATCCTGATTCAATGTTGTATTGATTGGTTTTCCAAATACTTGTTCAATGACCGCCTTCACCGCTGGAATTCTGGTGCTACCGCCGACGATTTCAACGGCAGAAATTTCGTCAGATGCCAAACCTGAATGGGAATTGAGAGAGAGAGAGATAAAGATACAGAGAGGCAGTCAGTATTTTTTGTGCTGAAGAATTATTTCTGATGTCAAAATGAGCTAGGAAAGCTTTCTTAAAAACGATGTCCTTCCCAATAATCATAACGTTGGCTGAACTCACCTGAATCCTGTAGACATTTTCTGCATGTGACTTCAATGCGTTTGAAGATTTCGGCGCAGAGTTCTTCCATTTCAGTACGGGACATGCTTGATGTGACATCAATTTCATCGATGAAACAGTCGATGTTCAATGGTAATTTTGTGCTATTCGCCGACATTTGCTTCTTCAATTTTTCCACTTCGGTCATGAGTCGCAAGTAGGCACGTGGATTGCCACGTGCATTGATTCGGTACTTCTTTTGGAATTGTTCGGCAAACACTTCGGCGAGAATGGCATCAATGTTTCGTCCACCGACTTGATCCCAAGCGCTGCTCACCATTCGAAGTTTGCCCCGGTTGTACGCACAGATGGCCACTTGCAATTGCGATTGACCAAAATCGACAAACACAACGTTCGTTGGTTTCTCTTCGGGTGCGGGTAAATCGGTCTTGTAGAAACCGTACAGCAGAGCCACGGAGGTTGTTTCATTCAGCAAGTGTAAAACATTAAGTCCGGCAATTTGGGCTGCATCGATGAGTGCGGAACGTTCGGCGCTGGTGAAAAATGATGGAACCGTAATGACGCAATCCTTCATTGGTTTCTTCAGAGCCGTTTCGCAGGTTTCCTTTAGCTTTGTAAACAGCATGGCTGTCACTTGTTCGGGAGTGAATACGTGCTCTTGTTCCATGTAATTGACACGAATGCCAATGCCACCGTTTGGCAACGGTTCCACGCGATACGGCAAACTTTTCAAATCATCCTGAATGTGTGGATCATTGAATTTACGGCCCAACAAACGCTTGAAATTGCCGATGGTATTTTTCATATTTGTCACTTGTTGGTTCTTGGCTGCAACACCCAAGATACGCTTTTTGCCTGCAAATGCAACGCATGCTCTGTAAATCAGAAACAGAAAGAAGAAGAAGAAAGAAACAACATTAATTATCAGCGAAAATCCAAAAATAAACCGTCAATTTGGTATACAACTTCTGTGATAAGCAATCAGAATCATTCGCATTTCCAATGCTAATTTAGCGTAATGTTTTTCATTGACGCGCTCACAAGACCCATATACAAATACAGTAAATTAATTGTAGCTTGATTTGGGGAGATGATTTCGTCACCAATTTGTACATTCTCGTTCACTCTCTCGCCACGTCGCACACATAATTAAATTGGAATTCATTTACTTGGAATATGGTCATTGAATAATTTAATATTTACAGTGCGCGCCTCAAATACACTGAACACCATCGATAAATTCCATATTGATCCTCTTAACAATAATTTATGCAATAGAAACATCCCAATAGAAGATATGAAACAGATGTATATGTCCGCCTGAAACAGGCCGCACAAAGCCATAATCGTTTTTCGTGTTGTGTACGCGCAAAGAACGCCTCATATTTGGTAGCATTTTGTTTTGTCTGTTCTTCGTTCGAAATAATTGCGCTTGTGTTGGCAGAAAAATCGATGAGACATCAGACAATTTGATATGGTTTACTGCGTACTTCAGACGGGATAAATGGTTTATTGGATTATCTTTTGATTCCGAGAATTGACTCAAAGAATCGAACACAAATCGAGCACACCAAAATTTAAGAAGGCGATACACATTTTTTTTTTCATTGGTTCCTATTTTTTTCTCCTTTAAATTCGGCCCGTGTATGATTTATGAGTAGTTAATGCGTATATTTTGAATATGATGAGCAATAACATGTGCTGAGCGTTATACGCCTACTTCATTTCGATTCATTTTGCAGCGATACATTGAACAGTGATTGAAACAGCGGCTCCGACACACATCACATTCGTGTAAATTACCGAATTTATCGCAACTGCTCAATACATCAGAACGGCTTTGTGTTGTGCACGCTTCGTTCTTCGTATATGTGTGTATGTGCTGTTGTGTCGACAGGAAAAATAGTGAGAATAAAATATCGCTGTGCCGGCCTCATAATTTCTTTTTTTGCAATTTCGAAAGGTTCAACGATCATCGGTTGCATGAATAAGCGAAAGAGAGTGTCGTCATGATTTTGTCGAGAGACAGCGAAAGACACGAATTGAATGTGGGCTGTTGCTGTTGTTGCTGCCGTTGCCGTCACCAGAGAATCTTTGTGCTATGTATCACGACATCTATTTTATACGTTTCATGCGCTTTTGCAATTGGCTACTTTCGGCCAAAGCAAACAAACAACCCATCGATTCCGAAACATTCTTCATTCGAAATTCGCTCTCTTTGTGATGACAAATGAGACGTTTTTTTTGTCTCGTTTTTTTTTTCATAGCGTCAAAATGTCAAGACAACAAATGATAATGTAGTCCAGTGACTTCATGGCCATTTTACTGCACCATATACCATGCAACATATACAGTGTCTCGCTGTATTTTCAATGCGTGCATTCGGTACGCGTACCGTTTCGTCCAAAGTGCATACCAAAATTGGCTCGCCGATCAAGTATGCATCCTTCATTTGGCTATTGTGTATAACTTGATATTTAAATGAGCCAAACAAAACTACTTTCATTCAATGGGCACATTGTGCTCGCATTTCCAATTCGTTCTTCGGGGTAAACATAACAGCATTATTCAACATAACAACGCATTTCTATGTTTCAATTTGTTTGTTTGCCATATAAACTAAGGCGATGGAAAGAAACAAAGCCGCAATCATACAGAAACTTCCCGAAAATGTGACCGAATTCAATAGAAATAGTTGCGAGACCGCGCGCACATGAAAAAAAAAGAGTTGAGAGAATTATTCAAATGTTGATGGCGATCAAAATCGAATGTAATGGTAATGTGCGCGTGTACATGTGCTACTTGGTTTATGTGTTGAGAACAACGTTACTTGTTGTCATCTCTTTCGTTCTTACACGTTACATCCAAATGCCGGCTATCTCTTTCGCACACAAACACTGTAGCGTTCTGAGATGCCTTTGAATTTCGGGAAATTTCTTGAAAATTCCACACTGGCTGGTTCAATTATTTTTCATAAAGTTCCAATTTTTCATTTATTTCAGTACACGTGAGACATGCTCAGAAAACTTCTAACATCAATTGACATATACAACGTTGTTCCCATTGATTCACACGGATTTTGAGGTTATTTCAATTTGTCGCATGGAAAGTTTTTTTTATAGGTTCCTGCGGTTGTGTGTTCACTTTAATCGTTTAAAACGATGACAACAACAACAATAAATGCGTTTAATTTACGCAAAATTCATATGAATGAAAAAAAAAACCGATGGATTTTTTTATTCGGAAAATGGGACACTTTGAACACTCAACTTCCTTCAAACAACGGCATATTATTTCTGACGGTATAGAAAAAAAACACGAGCAAACAACACATCGAACAGAAATTGCAATTGTCATAAATTTTATCACAAAAATTGCATCAAATTTATAAATATGATGGAAAGAATGCAGGATACTTACGGTGTTGCACGCAAACTGTAGTCGTTGGCAAGTGTTTCGATGCCACCCGAAACAGCGGCTGCTATGAAACACGATTCATTACCAAAATCGATTCCAATTACTGACATCTTGACAATTGAATTTTTTCTGTTTTTTTTTTGTGTCTGAGTTCACTACAACTTCTTCCCTGAAACAAAACGGATGAAAAACCGACGATTAATTACAATGGAAACTAGCGAAATGATGTGAATTGCCATCTAGATAGCCTTATCTAGCATTCCAGAACAATTATTGTATCCAAATAAAATGAGTTGAATGTAAAATGTGTGGACGAGAGCAATCAAACTGATTTTTTTTTTCTTCCGTTGTTGGTTCACTCAATTTACCGGAAAATTATGCACTCTGAATCAAAACTAAAGCAGGCGAACACAGAGTTTAAAGTCTCTCGATCGAATGCAAATCGATTCAATGAAGAAAATAACTAAATTGCACACAAATTGATGGCATAAATTTCTGATTTACAGCAAAAATGCTCAATGTCACCACGAATTTCTCACGTTCTTTCGATTGAAATTTCATTAATTGATGCTGACACAGAATTTTTTTTTTTGATACTTCGATCAACTCAATATATCCTCCTGTCAGTTGTTTGCTCTCTCTCTCTCTCTCTCTCTCTCTCTCTCTCTCTCTCTCTCTCTCTCTCTCTCTCCCTCTCTCACTTTCTGTGTGTCGCGGTGTATCACACCATTGCGGTTTTGAAACACACAAAATTTTAACAAGAAAAATTTCAACGTTTCACACGGAAAATTCAATGAAAATAATTTACAACAAATTGCTTTGAAATCGGTTACCTATTTTATTAATAGAGTTTCTTCGAAAATAAAATTGTTGCTTTGTTCAGAACAAATAAAAAATATAAAACAAATTTTGTGTCGTTTTCTTCTCGCAAAGAATGAAACACCTTTTAGACGCGTGTTCTTCACTTCAAGTTATGACTGTGTGAATATATTCCGAGCGCTGAACATTGAAAATAGATACCCATGTAAGGAAGTTTCTAGAATGCCGAATGTGTGTATTTTACGTATACATTCTCGATGCTTCTGTACGAATCACAAAAACCGAATCAGTAGATGCCGGTTCGTGTGTGCGTTCGCTTAAAATATACGTAAAACTCAAATATCATGCACTAATACAGATTCAGCGAATACGATTCGAACCAATGCGGTACACGACGGTATAAAGCGACTGAGAATATACAACACACCGTGTACCACATCGATGTATGTGTGGCTGAGTATTTTGAACAACTGGATTCTGACATTAATGGCATGGTCGGCCAACTGACGCAAAGCATTCACTCGCTCTATCTCTCTTTCGCTCATTCCATGTAATGCCAATCGCCTTGCGTGTTTCGAATTCGAATGCAAGGCTTCCAATTTTCCATTGTCATTTCATTCAATTTTACTAAGGATTCCACCAATTGCATCATATTAACCAACATTTTTTTTTTGGTCTTTTCTTTCTGTCATTAAACGCTGCTCCTTTCATCATTCATTTTTCATTCTAGACATTACGTTACATTTCTCGAATATTCGATTGGAATAAAGTTGGCGCTGAAACTTATCGCACATTTCTAGAATTATCGCGCAACAAAAGAAATTATTCTGGAAATATTAAACTTCAATTTCACTATACGACCTTGGTCAACTGTCAAATATGAACACTGCAACATTTTCGAACAGAAAAACAAAACTCCTACCAATCAATTGATTGAGCATTTGAAATCATTTTTCCCATTGACATCTCCGTTATCAGTTGTTATACTTGAACATTTTTGAACTAAATGAAAATTATTCTTCTTAAATGATCGGTCAGATACCTCTTTAACTCACCTTTAGACCATTTTCAAAGAGAATCATACGAAAATTCTATGGAAAAAACAACGAATTTTCGCAAAATTGTGACATTTCATTAGGAACGTTGACATTCAAATGTGGCGCCATTTTCGAATTACAGCGAAAATTGGCTTTCGATTCGAATATTCACAATTATTTTATTATTTTGTAAAGAGTCATTACTAATGACTGCCAAATATTCGATATTGCCGAATTCACTTGGAAATTTATTTTTCATTGCTTCAAAAAACTATTTCCAATAGAAAAAAGAATAAACAATGAAAATCCAAACGGTTTTTTTCTTCATGTCTTGGAACGAATTGAATAATGAAACCAAAGGTAGAAAATTAAATCCAAACATTCGATCAAATCGTTTATTTCTTCCTCAGAATTGGATTGATGAACAGTATAAATATTTCGATTTGGTGAACGTCTACCTCTTAACGAACGATCAATGTATTAGTAAAACTAATGAGATGTGTTGACTTATATCAAATAATTATATCGATATGCCCCGTTCTCAATGACACCGGCGAAAAGCATTAGTTGAACATATCTTCTCTCAATTGGGACCACAAGTAATTAGCTTGCCTTTTTCTTTGATACATTTCAATATAGACACATGAAAAGCTGTTCGATGTATTAGATATGGTAAATAAGCTGTTGTCTCCTTTCTTCTTTTTATCATTTGAAAGAAAAAAGATGTCACAAACTGTAAACAAATTGCCGGTTCAAATGTTGTTTATATTTTGAGTTAAAATTGTATTTTTTGCAATTATTTCGACGGAGACAAAATATTTTGAGACGATATTTTCACAATTTTGCTACAATTATTGTCATCAGTAGTACATTACTCGATGATTACAATTTGAAAACAATGCAGAAACAAATTTCTCCCATTTGTTCGGTGCAAACGTTTCTTACCTAGGTATTGCAATCCCTTCAGACAGCAAGCCAACAGACGTGGTACGACAAATTAATGGTATACATTTTGAATTGCATATCCAATTGGTGGGAATTTTCTTATACCTGCTATGTATGATACAAAAGTTTACGGATAAATCCAAAATAGTCAGATAGAGTCTAAATTGAACCGAAGACTTTCTAATTTGGCTCGACAAGAATGACAATTTGAGCAGATTGGCCAGATAAATTCGAAAAAAGGTCAGAGAAAAGTCTAGATTGAGCAGAGAAAAATGGATTCATCAAACTTGTCTAAAACGGTCGAATATATTTCCAAAAATGATCAGATGAATTCCTAGTAAAACCAGATAAATTTTTTCGAAAATGTGCAAGCTGTTTTAGTTCACAATGGTCTATTTCGTTCGATCAGAATAATAAACTCCCAAAATCTACAGAATAAATTAGTGAGCTAAAAATTCATAAGCTTAATCGCATTTTCATTTGTTATGTTTTGATTATTCAAATTTGTCGCAAAACCAACTTTATTTAACACGACTATGTCGTGTAAGAAAAGTATTGCGATCGCTCCAGATTTTTTGACCCCATGAAAATGCGTTTTTTTTCGATTTTCGAACTCCCAAAAATGCGAAATCTAGCGTTATTTGGATGTCGTAGGATGGGTGCGTGATAAACTGTACGGTGTACGCTGTATCCAAAAATACGGTAAAAAATTTGCTACGTTTGAAAGTCTATAACTGAAATGTATCGTGTAGAAAAGTTTGCCTTACGGATGTAAGATCATGTGCTAGATCAGCGACGTAGCTGTTCTAAGTATAAATGTTCAAAATACAGAAGCCTTGGTGACAAATGCACAAACAAAGTGTTATCTTTATCTATAAATAATTGTCGCCTGTTAAATAGCCTCGCCTCATTCAAGTTTGATTCATATTTGTCAAAGTCAAAGTCAAAGTCAGTAACAATCCACTTAATTAAACATCAATAATTCGACGCAATTTTTATGAAAAAATTAATTGCATTCTTCAATCTCTGTCAGAAGTGAATTTGTCTGCGCTGTGTTTATAATTTGAGTGAAAGAAATCATCAAAAAAAATTCTAAATAATGAGTGGAATCGATGTTATTATTGATGAAGCAACCCCAGTCAATGCAACGTTTGCCGCAAAATATAAACGGTAAGTTGATCAATGAGGATAATGTTCAGAGTAATATTGATCATTTGAACATTCATTTTGATCATTCAAACATACGTTTTTGGATGGCTTAGCATCTCAGCATATCGACGACGCATACTGTATAATACAATGTTACAGCGTTGCTACGCACAGCCGCAGAGCAATGGCTCGACCGAAGTGTGTATGTTGTTGCTGCGTACGACACTGTATTATACAGTATGCGTCGTCGATATGCTGGGATACTAATAAGCCATCCAAAAACGTATGTTTGTGATCATTGTATTTTTGTAAAATAAAAATCAAGAAATCTATGCAATCTGTCATAAATGTCTTTGGTGTCAATAGAAGTGCCGCATATCAAGTATTTACGGAGAATTTGCCAAACCTTTTAACAAAATTGATTGATCGATTAGCTCACGATAAAGATGAAATAGCCAAAATCTTCAGTGGAGAGGTAAATACTCGACCATTAAAAATATGTAGTTACAGGAACAAATACTTTTTTGAATGATTGAAAAAAATTTCATCCATAGCAAACGAAAGCCGATATTGAGGAAGCTATTGCCAATATTTTGCAGCTTAAACATGAATTACTAACTGACAAACAGCTAACACCGTTGGATGATGATGGTATATTCATTTCTTTTTACATTTTACAGAAGAACAATAGTTATCTCCAGTTTCTTTGATGTTTCGATATTTTTTTCTGATTTTATTTTATTTTTTTTATTTTATTTAACACCGCCAAGCTCTGGCTGAATATATTATAATTTGTTGAATGATATTGAACGATTTGAAGAAATTCGATATTTTCGCATTTTGCTTCGAAAAGCGAGTGGCAATTGTCACTAAGTGTGACATCTTTTGTGATTTGCGTTCGGATTTGTGTGAGCAAAAAGCAATAATCAGTTTGATGATTTATATAAAGCTCTTGTTTGAACGATTTTAAAATTTGTTGTTCAATCTCAACAATTTTTGTTTTATTTCGATTAGAGGTTGATAATGATGTTTGGAACACGTTCATTGGGCAGCTTGGCGAAAATAATACTTATTTTACCACCAGATGGATTTACGCTTATTGCTATGTATATCGTCGCTTGAAGTCGATTTTCGGAAAAACGTGAGTCTAATTTACATAATAAATGATGAAATATTCATAAAAACTCGTTGAAATGTTTTTGTTTACAATTTTTCAGTAGCACCTTGAAGAGTTATGATTATTTCCAAAAACAAAAGGACAGTGCATTCGATACGTCGATGAATGCGATCTCTACAGTGATTGAACAAACGGCCGAATTCTATTCTAAACATGCAACATCTGATGAATCCTCAATAAATGAGCTTGAACGATTTTTCTACAAATTGTTGCGGGTAAGATGGCATGAATTAGATCAATTATGCAATGCATGTGTGATGATGCACCGACTGCCATCAAAGATGGGTGTGTTGTGTGCATTTACATTTCAAACAATCGCACTAAAATGTTACTCCGACAAGCGGTAACAGCTGGCGCATCATTGCACGAGTGTTTGGTTGTGTGCATGACAATGCAAAATAACACTATAACATTTTTAGGTGAATTTATGGAGTAATCGAGACGATTTAACATTAATAAGTAGCATTGGGGAGAAGAAATCGAGTAATCCATTTGTTGATATAGAATCGTTTGAATCATATTTACTAGTCGATCGATCGCGTGACATTTGGAATTGTTTGCAGTCCGGTCCAAAATCATGTGCCATCGACGTTGTCATGGATAATGCTGGCTATGAATTGTTTACCGATTTCTTGCTCGCCGATTTCGTTCTGTACTACAATCTCGCGAATAAAGTTCGATTCCATTGTAAGGCCATTCCATGGTTTGTATCAGACGTGACATACCGTGACTTCCATTGGACCATCAGACAATTCGCTGAAAGCAATGTACCGGCTATACAAGCGTTTGGACAACGATTGCAACAACATGTGGCAACAAATCGAATCGAACTCAGGTGGACGACTCACTTTTGGTCAAGCCCGTATGAATTTCAAGCGATGCCAACCATTGCACCAAAATTGTATGCTCTGCTTGAAACGAGCCACATGGTCATAATCAAAGGTGACCTAAATTATCGTAAACTTTTTGCAGACAAAAATTGGCCGTATGACTCGCGTTTCACTGAAGTGCTCGGCGCTTTTCGTCCAACGAATGTTTGCTCATTACGAACGACTAAAGTTGAATTGATTTGTGAGCTATCCGAAGAAAAAGCGAAGAAATTGTTCGAATCGGACGAAATGTGGATGTTAACGGGTGAATACGGAGTCATTCAATTTGCGCCGAAACCTCAGTAAAATGCCATATGAAATGTTGGGCTAGTATTTTGCGGTGTTTGATTTTTATAATAGCACTTTCAAAGTTACCGTGATTTGTTAGCAATTGTAATTGTAAAGGAGGATACAAATAAAAATACATTTTTAAAATGACCGAACTTCTACTTTCATATGCATTGTTTTATTTCAAATTGCAGGCTTTGTTATGCGCTAAATCCATCACGCTGAATAAATTTATGCGATAAATTTATGTGATAAATGTGATGCGCTCGCTTTGCGGTGTACGAGGTCTGTTGCTCTTCACTACCGCTTAGCGATGCGTTCACTGCAAAGCATGAATGTTCATGCGTGAAAAACTGAAGAGCAACACACTTCGTTCACCGCAAAGCGAGCGCATCACATTTATCGCATGAATTTATTCAGCGTGATAGATTTAGCGCATAACAAAGCCTGTCAAATTGCGTACTCCAATTATTACTTTCATATTATTGATTCAAACAATATATAAACACTTTTTACAAAAACTTAGATACCACCTGCAGACTTATTTTCATCTTGAAAATTCGATCTGATCTATTCTCATCAATCCAATTTGATACATTGATATCGCATAGCCAACTTAACGTTTATCAAGCGACACCAGTTGTCAAATATTGAAATATTCGCGCCATTTTCAAATCACAGCGAAAATTGGCTGTCGATGCGAATATTCACAATTATTTTATTATTTTGTAATGACTGCCAAATTCACGTGAGCATTTATTTTTTATTGCTACGAAAAAAACTATTTCGAAGAGAATAAAAAATGAAAATCTAAACAGTTTTTTGCTCACGTCTTGGAATAAATTGAATAATGAAACCAAAAGTAGAAAACTAAATCCAGACATTCCATCAAATCATCTGATGCTATTTCGAACTGCTATTATTTTTTCCTCAGAATTGAATTGATAAACAGTATGAATGGTTCGATTTGGTGATAGTATCCCTCTTAACGAACGACCAATATATTGGTAAAACTAATGAGGTGTGTTGACTTATAATCAATTAATTGTATCGATATGCCATGTTTAAATCGCCCGCTCTGAATGACACCGGCGAAAAGTATTAGTTGAACATATCTTCTCTCAATTGGGATCACAAGCAATTAGCTTGCCTTTTTCTTTGAAAAATTTCAATACAAAAAACATGAAAAGCTGTTCGATGTATTAGGTATGGTAAATTAGCTGTTGTCTCTTCTCTTCTTCAATTAGTCTATGCGAAATTAGTTTTTTTTTTTCATTAGCGTCATATCAAGCGAATTTTTCGAATATTTTATTCGCACCCTGTTTCGATTAGAAAAATTTCTAATCTTTTATAATTTGAAAAATAAACAAAATCAGTTTAAAATTTGCTTATATTTTGTGTTGAAATTTTTTTTTTTCGCAATTATTTCGACTGTGACAAAACATTTTGAGGCGATATTGTCAGATAATGTGGTATAATTATTGTCATCAGTTGAACATTTATCGATGATTAGTGTTTGAAAGCAAAAAAGAAACAATTTTCTCCTATTTGTTCAGTGCAAACGTTTGTTTCCTAGGCAATGCAATCGATGGCGCACTCATTTGTCAAACGTCTGAAATTTCAAACATAAACAAACCCCTCGTCGGTGACAGTTATACGTAGACATTCAGTGCAGTTTGTGCTGTCATTCGCTCCGGTATTTTTTTTTTGTACGTTGTTATTTTATGATTGGTAAAAATGACGCAGATTATTGAGTTCACGAAGGTTTGCATCGCACTTTTTCCAATTTCATGCTAAATTAGTGTATACGATATTCTTTACGAATTTCATTCATTTTTCAGCATTCCGACAACTATTTGGTGTATCATTTTGATTTTGAGTGTAATGACACCAGTGCGATTGGAACGTATACAGGAAACTGTTCGCTCAATAAATTCATGAAGTAAGTAAACGATAAATAAATTAACATATACATGTAAATAATAATCAATTCAATTCTTATTTTTATAATCAATATCATCATTTTTATTATTTCTTTGCACTTTTTTAAAAAATTATTTAAATTCATGAGCTTGAACGATTGGCATACGATTTTGGGTGATTTGAGTGCACCGGTGGGAAAATATGTGGAAAATCCATTCAGGCAGCCAACCGACGCGGTACGACAGATTGATGGTACAAATTTTGAACTGCATATCCATTGGGAGGATATGGATGCATCGCTGTACTCGAAGCTATTGTCGTCGTTAGATTTTGATTTAGTATTTCCGTTTGTGATTAAAGTTAGAGTAGTGCTACGATCAAATGTAGATAAATTTATGATTCCTGATACACCGGCAAAATCACCAGTTCGAAAGAAGACAGCGGAGCGAAAGAAAACGACTGATACAAGTGCACACAGTTTGAATGTGTCGAAACTAACGAATGGTAACGATAGTGGCCAATCGATCAAGTTGCGAGAATGCTGCGTTCGATTGCCACTACTGCAATTCGATGAGAATGGTGATCTGATTCAAAACCATATGGTACGCAATAAGCGAAAACATAGTTCAATTGCGGCCAATGAAGTGCAGCCCACGAAAATAACACCCAGCAAAATTCATAGCGACCAAAATGATTTATTCATGTGCTCGAGCAGCAGCACGCCGCTTGCGCGTAATCACAGCGTGGCACTGAAAGAAATCGAAAATGAAGTACGTGAAACATTCGCCATTCCAGATCCAAAGGTGGCAAAACGTGTAACCAATCGACTTACGACCACACCACGTTCCAGCAATGATCGCAAGTCATCACAGTTCAATCCACGAATTCGACTCCTGAAACCACCTGATGATGTCAATCGCCTGAACAAATCGAAAAAACTGAAGCAAAAAAATACAGGAAAAAAAACGGGAAAATCAAAGACAAAAGATAAAACCACAAAAAAGCCCAAGCCCAAAGCACAGTCTGTTGCAAATGAAAGTGAATGGTTTGAAAAACCGGCCGAAAATCAAAAGGTCAAGAAAGTCAAGCCAAAGAAAAAGTCATCACCACCGGCAGCACCAGAAATTATTAAGTTAGAAGAACGGTAATGGAAAATTGGGTCAGCGAGCTGAATTGACAAAAAAAAAAATGTTTAAAATGAATGATTTATTTCAGGGACTTAAAATCACTGACTGATGATGAATTATGGAAATCATTCGATGACCATTATGCAGTTGTTTCGAATCTATTCCTTGATTACTTGAAACAAACTGATGCAACCGTGCGTAAATCAGACGATTACAACCATATTGATATGCTGTCTCTTGTGACAACCGATCAGTTTTCAGGTATATTTCCAACCATATCTCGCATGTGTTCATCCAAACCTAGTGCAAAGTGTTTTCAAATCAATAAACTAGCCATCTTTCTCCTTTTTTTGCAGTCATGTTAGACATTTTATTCGATAAATTCGTGAAAATCGGCGAGTTCGGTGAGATTTGCTATGATACTTTATTCTTGGAGCTGCTGATACCCGAATGGACCCTCGCCATATACATGCAACGCCATTCGTTGGATCGTGCCGTGGCCATTGAACGGATTAACGCACAGAAAACGGATGATAATCAAAGTTATGAGGGCTATACGACCATTGTCTCTGTCAAACTAGACGATACAATGAATAACACTAAGACGCATACCACCATTGATAAGATTTAAATATGAAATTGTTTATTCTTCACTAAAATTGCTGCTGTGTTTTATTTTACATTGACCAGAAAAAAAAACTTTAACATTTCAAAAGAAACGGCCTACTAAATTATTTTAAATTGAAAACCATGGCGGTGAGCCTCGGCTGTCTTCATTACGTTTAAGGAACTTTTTGTGTTCATCGGCCTGATCTCGGAGTTGTTTCTTTGCTTTGCTCAATTCTTCTGCTTGTTTATCTTTGTCGAAAATCACCGGGAACTCAAATGACACATTGCTTGGCTGGAAAGAGATATTACATTGCTTAATATCGACGATTCTGGGACAATCTTGAACTAATTTTGATCTGAAGCAATCTCGTACACAGATCTAAAGACAACAATATTTACCATAGTCACAATGGCCACCCGGTAGTCGTCCTTCTTCTTCACGTATTTCTTGTAGATATCTTTGTAGAATTCACCAAGTCGCACTTCGGTTCGCACATCCACCACGGGAATGTTGTAGATTTTGGTTAAATAATTCTTAATATCGTGTTTGGTCATCTCCAGCGAACAGTGAAAAGTGACCACATTTGATGGCGGTGTTGGTTTCTGATCATTTCGCACCATTTTCATCCAGAAATCTGTCATAAATACACGCAACTGTGGATTGCCACGCTTATAGATTGGATACCATCGGGTTGACATTGTCCAACAGAAAAAAATCTCTCTCACTTTTTGAATGAATCGATTCTTTTCATCAAAGAAAATCACAACAAAATTGGATTCAATCGGAAAACGACTTGCGAATGTTTTGCTCTTTGGTTATGTACATGACATATGAAAAGTTGGATGAAGTCGACATCTATACGGGGTTGTCAATGTTCGAATCAAATTTCGAATGCTTTTTTTTTATTTTCCTATTGTTCGAATTTCGATTTGAAAATTCTTTTCTTCGTTTTTTTCTTTTTCATTTTTTCTTCATTTTTGAACTTTTTTTTCCAACAAATTGACCATGATTTGTGCAATTAATTGCAAAATTTGTTTTGTTTCATTGTTCATGTTTCGAAATCTGATGATAGTTCCATCTCGTGGTAATTTATCGCATTGTTCGGGTACCACATGAAGAACTACTATTGACAGAACCTTCCAGCATTGATTGTCAAACAGTGTACAGCAATAGTATTTGTTTCATAAGGTAAGTTTTACGTGAAAATTCTCGATTTTCACAAAAAACAAATCCAACATTTTTCATTTGGCCAAAATTATTTGAAAGAAAATGGAGTTTGCTAGTGATGAAATATGAAAAAGCACATCGAATTTCAATGGCAAATCCAAATGTTCAGTTTTTTTGTTAATCAATTGTACATTACGTAATGGTAGTTTGAGGTGTTGTGATAAAAGTCAACTTGAAATGATTGGTCTTTCGTTGGTTTCAGTTATTCGTAGCAAAGATGGGTCACGGTTTCGGAAATTTGTGGAAATACTACGGTGTTATTTCATACACCCTTTCACCATTCGAGCAAAAGGCATTGAAAGGTATCATCAGTCAAGGCTTCCTCAATACATGCCGTCGTTTCGCCGAAAATGTTCCATACATGGGTCCACGTAAGTTGCTCGCCCGTCAAGAAAAGAAAAACACTTGATTTCCAAAACGGGCATCGATCGAAATCTCAAACGATTGAATTTTCCCTCTAATTCTTTTTCTACTTTCGTTTTCTTCTCTAAAACAGCCGCCTTGATCAGCTACTTGGTGTACGAATGGGCCGAACATGAAAACCACCAATCACACCGCAAAAATCCAGCTGACTACGCCAATGACGTTTAAGCCTGTATTTATTTGCTGCAGATAATTAAAACTATGCTATGATTTAAATGCTATCAAAATATTCGAAGTAAATGAATGAAATGTAGACTAAAAATGATTAAAAAAAAGTGGTTTTCCTCATTAAATATTTTCTTCTTGTTCTGGTTTAGCTTTAGCTAATTATTCCACTTTTGGCATTGAACTGGTTGTTTAATTATTAATCATTCATTTTGATTTGATGATGAATAATTTAGAATGCATTTGATAAGATGAAATGTCGCGGTGAAGTCATAACACTTGCTGTATTATTAGGTGAGAATTTGATGGATTTCATAGAAAACGAGTCAAATTGCATGGGATTTGTGCCAGTGAAACAGATGACAGCGCCATTTTCGTCGTCGATTGGTGTGCGCACTCATTCTCGTTCCCAAGACATTCTCTGTCTCCCTCCTTCTCTCTCTCCTACCATATTCATCGCATGCACGCATACACGCCCATCGCACTGTCACTGGTGTATGTGTTTGTGTGTGTATGCCTCGCGTACAACGTGTGAATATGTGACAAATGATTGCCCAAACAAACACTCATTATTTGAACTGTCAAGAAGAGTGTGTTCATCACGCACCACCACATCGATGTGAAACGAAATAACAACGTCGTCGAAAGAGCACGAATAGGCAAGGTTGGCATTGCGTCAAAATTTTTTTTTGTGTGCGATATATTTTTTTTTTCATTGAATTTCACGAAAAATTCTAATTTTCATCATCAACACACCATACAATTCGTTTCCTTATTATCCGCATCGATTGACGTGCACACCGTTTCGGTCATTTGGGCTATTTTGTACACAACACATTGCTTGTTGTGTACAATTCGTTTGAAATATAGACTATCGGAGAAGAAAAAGTAATTTAGTTTCGAAATTGATGAAAATTGAATTTAATCAGCAAACAAGAGTGAAGTCAAAAAGTTCAATTTACCACGCGCCAAAAATACACATCGGACGACCGCTGATTGCCCGAACAAGTGGATTTTTACGTGATAAATTATTAACATTTGTTTTGAATAATTATTTCCGCATAATTGTCAAACTGAATCGCTGACCTTGAAAATTAAAACCCAATTGCAGCAGCCAATCCAAAAAGATCAAATTCTATTCCAGAAAATCGTGGGCGAACCAAGGCAAACATATTAATTGCATCAATAAGTGAAACTTGAAAGCGTAAATTTTCCATTGCGAAATTTTGATTTTGGTGAGTGGAAAGGTGACAACACATAGAAAAACAATGACAAACAGATCGGACGAAGAGCTGGCCAGAGGACTTAGTGCGCTGGTTAAAACATTAGATCGGCCGGCAAATGCAAACGAAACACAAGACGACAACCCAACAACATCGGATCGGGAACGCGAAGTCGTTGCTTTGAATGAATTACGAGTACAAATGCTGGAAATGATCGGTACACAAAAGTCAGTCGAGGAAGGACGATATTGTTGGGTATGTTTTGCCACGGATGAGGATGATCAGATGGCCGCATGGGTTCAGCCGTGCAAATGCAGTGGCACCACGAAATGGGTGCATCAATCATGTCTTCAGCGATGGGTCGATGAAAAACAAAAGGGGAACGCTTTTAAACGCGTCAATTGTCCACAGTGCCGCAGCGAATATATCATTGTATTCCCTGAAATGGGCACATTTGTTAGCATTTTAGAAGGTGTCGACTCAATAATCAAACGACTTAGCCCATTTTTAGCCGCTGGCGTTATCGTTGGATCACTGTATTGGACAGCTGTCACATATGGTGCAGTTACGGTAAGTGAATTAGTGATGAAGAAAATTCAAAATTAAAAAGAAACCAATTTTTTTGATGACATTTTTTGAATAACTACGCCCAAAAATGCATTCAAACTCCCTGTAAATGCCAACTGTGTTATTAAAACTGTAATAAATGCCATTTCTAATCTATTTTCATAGGTACTACAAGTATTTGGACATAAAAATGGGCTAGACATGTTGGAGCGAGCTGATCCATTGGTGCTATTGATTGGGCTGCCTGCCATACCAGCTGGTTTAGTTCTAGGCCGTATGATCTGCTGGGAGGAGATGCTGTTACGATTTATCCAAAGTCGACAGAATATCGCTCGGAAATTCCCATTGTTGAATCTAGTGCTACCATCAACTACGTAAGTTGTATCGAAATGTTATTCACAATCGAATTTCACAAACATACAACATCATCATGACGTCATGTGACTTCTATATATCATTTTGTTCACTTTGATTTCATTGTAGAGAAGAGACGGAAGAGAATGGCAACGGAAATCAAAACCAGACACCAGCTTTATCGGATCCATTATCGGCCACCCGAATATTTTGCGGTGCATTATTTATGCCAACCGTTTCGGCAATTGTTGGTCGTGTATTTTTCGAATCAATTCAGAATAATCTACATCGAACGTTAATTGGTGGCCTTTCATTCATTGTGGTTAAGGGAGCGCTGAAAATCTACTTCAAACACAAGCAACACACACGAAAGAAGCAACGAAAAATTCTCGATTTTACCGAAGAAAATATGCGACGAGCCCGCAGTCAACCGCACTATCACAATCGTAATAATGATACGAGCAACGGTAATGCCGCCGCTGACAATTCATTCTAATTGCAATGCAGAAAGAAAATGCCATAAAATCAACATACACACACACAATTGGTGATGAATATTTATCGGCTATCATTAAATTCAATTTCTGCCGACAAATTGAAAATCATTCATTGAATTAATTATTATGCAAACGATGAGCTAAATAATTTGTTTTTTTTTCTCTGTCGCACGAATATTTAATTGTTTGATAAATAGGATTTAAGTTTTAAAAAAAAAACATGTGAAATTATTATTATTTTTTTCTTGAAACATTTCAACACCATGCTCATCATCCATTTCGATGAATGAATGGTTGCAAATTTTCTTTCTGCGTCTCGCAAACAATCTAAAAATTGAGAGGATTAATTTTTAACAAAATATATAACAAATGTGATAAATTAACGGAACTAATCGATTGAATAGTATTTGGGGCGAAAAGAGTTCGTAACTAGACGACACATTATTACAGAGAGTTCGTTTAATAGATTTTAGATTGGTGCATATTAAACGGCCCACATTGATTTTTTTTTTTTGCCAACGTCCAAATATCATCCAGTGTGGCACACATCACTTTTTAACTGAACACAAAATGAATGGAAGATCAGAAGTTTGCCACAAATTAGAAGAAAAAAAAAATATGATGAAATGAAAACAATGGTTTAGGTTCAGCCTTTTCTAATGAAAATATTGTCGTTGACAGACTGCATTACCGACGTCGATATATTTCCATGCAACATTAACAAAAGCTCATACACAAATAGCCCTACAATGCTACAAAGTGCTTCGGCATACCATTGTTTTTTTAGGACGGATTTATTCCAAAATAGACAAAAAAAAATTGTATAGTGTCAAAAATAATAGGATAAAAAAGCAAGAAACACATTTTTTTTTTCTGCAAAAAGACAAAACTATATTTTTCATTGAAAGACAACAACAGCAAAGAAATTTAACATTGAATATAGTGAATGATAACTTTGAATGTAATCAACTAAATTGTTTTGATATTTTCATTTTTATAAGCTTGGCAGAGAACTTAAAAGCGTCTTATTTAATGTTTATTGCTCCAAAGATAGACAACTAGACAAATGAGAGGAAATATTGTTTTTTTTTAACTTGAAACAATCTTATTATTATTGCAAACAAACGATCGACACTATGGAGATCGATGTTGTTTCTACTTTTAGTTTTCAAAACTCAAACAAAATGAAAAAAATGAACTAAAATAAAATACTAATGAATCATTTAAAAGACAATTTCGTTTCAATTTATTTCAATTTAAATTTTTTTTCTTACTTTTTTTTAAATGGTCTGAACAGCAAGCGATCAATATTTGTTATTATTTCTTTCCTCCAATTTTGTTTTTAATTTTTTCATTGATTTGAGGCAAATGCTTCGATCGGTGGGTGCTTAAATCGACGATTTTTCATTGAAAATTCGACTCATACGCCATTGGGAATAGGATGGAAAAAAAATTGGTGTTAATCTCAAAATACTGATTTGAGACTCAAATCAAAGCCAGTGCTAGAATAATTTGAATGTATGTTCGTTATTATTTTGGGATTTTTTATTGATATGAAAGCCTTCATCGTTCCGAGATTTAGAAGCTAAATTACCGAAAATCCGTAATGCAAATTAAAATCCAAAGAGAGGAGAGGGAGAGAGAGAGAGAGAGAGAGAGAGAATCGCAAATTGAAAGTGGAACGATTTTCCGAGACACGAGTTTGTATTATCGGTTGTCGTTGTGGTTTGCGCCAAGGTCGTCTATTCAGTTTAGTGTGGTAGTAAAAATTAATTTTACATTAAAATATAATCATGGTCAGTGTGGGAAACGGCGATATTTTGATATAGAAAATGCTATCGTCTTGAATCATGGTCGAACGAAGTGTGTGTGTGTGTGTGTGTGTGTGACCAAAATAAAAGTTCAGCATCCATAAATACAAATGAGCTGCAAATCGCGCGTATCTAAATTGACTGACATTGCCAGAATCTCGATCGTGGTTTATCTCTTTGACGTGAATTCGAAATGGAGACTAAATTTGCAAATACCCCCAGCATAAGCGGTGATTGCAAGCCCTAGCAATTCCAACAATAAACAAACATCAAATTCATACGAACGAAACCGAACAAGAGAAGAAAAAAACCACCATACAGTATACACACACCGCAAAACTCTCGCAACAGTCCCGAACCACTTACACGCAGCAGCACGCAGAAAAAAAAAACAACCAACAACATTCAAACGTACCAACAGCAACGACTCAGTTCGCAAAAGAGAAATACGGTACGACGACGACGTTGAAAGAAAGAAGCAGAAAGTGAGTGGCAATTTATTTGCTGAAGAAAAAACAAAATTGTGTATCGTTGCTCACTTTTTTCGGCTTGATACAAAGCTCATGTCTTCAGTATGATTTGAGCCGCACATGCAGTCAATGCGAAACCAAAACTCACGCGGGATGTAAATCAAAAATACCGATCAAGTGACCAGTGTTCGAACTGTTCCAACAAATACTATTAGGAACGTTGGATTTTCAGTCAAATTCAACCGTTTCTTCTTTGTTCAAATTTAGAACTTTTCTACGAATTTTCACAATTTGTTTTTCCGCAAATTTTTTCATTACAAACAATTGACAAAATATTTGAATTGGATCCTCTGGGAACAATAACGAACGTAAATTATAAAAAAAAATTCGACAATTTTTAAGTGCATGAATTTTGTGATTGGTTTTCACGAATTGAAAACGGAAGTGCAGAATCATTCATTGGTGACGAAAAAGGGAGGCCCACTGGATTTATATTAAATAAGCCGCTTTGGACGTGGGCAACTGTGATAGCCGCGGCAAAAGAAAGTGTCGAATCAGTCTAAGTTTTGTGCAATATGAAAATATCAAAGAGCTGATTCACTCAGGATGACTTCTGTTAACCAAAAACTCTGAATCATCACTACGGGTTTTTTTTTCTTCTGAGTTGTTCATTTATTTTTTTCTGCAACAAAAATCGTGATCACTATCATCATCGGCGACGACCAAAAAGTATAAAACCGATGGATATCACACAGTGATGGGAAAACATTAAAAGTGAAATTGAAAATTAAAATGAATTGATTGAATAAGAAGTGAATCAAACATTAAATTGATTAAATTGATTGATTGGTCCTAATTTATGCATCGATTGTCATATAAACTGGATTAACTGGGAGCTAATAGCCGTGATCGTTTCGCAAATGCACATTAGTGTCGTTGTTCGCTCTAAATGAAATCAAAAACCTGATCCAAACGGTATGTTTATTTTTATGAAGAAAAAAAAACGAGAAAAAAACAAACAATATTAAAATTACTAGTTTAGCGCTGTTGATTCTCTCCGCGAACCTGGGTTCGAATATCGCATTCATTTATGAGAATTTCACTTTATGAAAATATGATAACATGTGATTATTTGATGAGCGATCGTGAATTGACGAATATAATCACAATTTCTATCATCCATCTTCGTTTTTTTTTTTTTTCAAATGAGGCACCGTGTGGCCAAGAGATAGATTGAGCATGTATATGGTTAATGTTAGTGGAAAGTACAAAAGAAGAAGAAGAAGAAGAAAAATTGCACTGGTCAATGCTTTCGATTTTCTGACTTTCTTCTGCAGCTCACTGGATTTGGCTAACTTATTAGAAACGTCGTTAAGAATATTGAAGAAAACAACAACAAAATCACTGGTTTTAGGTCGAGATATATGGTAAATTGAGTGGCGTGAAAGTGGAAAAACTGGGTGAAGAAAGTCGATGATTTGATGATAGATAAACTTAGCATTGAAATTATATTTATCGAATTGCACTGGAACAATCATCATCACATTCATCATTGATATCCATGTTATCAAATTCGGCCTGCGAACAAAAAACCACTGAAATTATGTCAAAGATTGAGACACTAAGAGCAATTGACACCTGTTGTAAAATCCATCGGCTCTGGGAAGCTCTGTGTGTGTGTGTGTGTGTGTGTGTGTGTGTGTGTGTGTGTTTATTTTTTTAATGTGACTTCTACTTCCGAGCACTGTCTCGGTGAGTTAACCATCGACCCACATCATCACTGACAAATTTGTTCCGTTACGTGCCGTGCCACGCCACAGCTTTAAGCATTTAAAGCATTTATTTTATGATTAAGACAACCGAATTGAGTTGAAAAGAAATTAATCGCGGCAGCGTCTGCGAATTGTCGAATGGAAGAAAGTTTGAGGAAAATGTCGAAAACATCAACTCATACACTCAACAACATAATAGTTCAGTAACAGACGCAAAGAAACACACAATAAATTACATACAGTTTTTGTTTCATCTATTTGTACTTCTTCAATGTTTTTTTTTTTTTCTCACGTTGTTTTGCCGCGGTGTCAAATTCGGCATTTGCCGAAAACAAACAGAAGAGAGTGAAAAAAAAACACAACCAGCCCCGGCTGTTGTTGTATTCCGATAATAAATCACATCGCGTCTATTAATCGCTTTTGCGTGGCATTCTGCCATTATTTCATTTAATCGCTTGAGATAAATATAAATACGTATAGTGTTCAGTTAGATTTTTTTTTTTGTTATATAAAAAAAATTCAACAAACGCATAATATATCGTAAATTGAGAGGAAAAACATCACAAAATATGATGGAAAAAGAAAACAAAAAGCAAAAACATAACAAAAGTAAACAAACGCACTTATTAATATGAATAACGTTTGCCATTATTCGGCTGAAACAAAATTGGGAAAAATTAAATCAATCAAATTGAAAAACCGTTTTTATATCGGTTGGAGCGTTTGGCTTGTGATGACGGAAATGAACATCAAATTATGCGCTCGCGCGCACACAGAAAAAATATTGTTTGCATTTCCGTTGTGAATATTGTTTTAATCCCCTCAGTCGGGTAATCATATACAATGCATTATTTTGCATCAAAATCAAATATTTGCCCAAGATAACAGTGAAATTTTAGGCAATCATGCCTTGCCCATTGATTCGTTGCGCGCACACACACACACACACACACACAAAAAGAGTGAATAAAAAGGTGAATCAAAAGGGTAAATCAATAGTTTATTGAACAAAATATCGTTCATGATTTAATTTATGCCAAATGCTTTATTTTCAATGATTTTCTATGGATAAAAGAAAAAAATACAAAAAGCGGAAAACAAAACAAAACTGGACACTTTTTCCAACACATTTTTGTTCGTGCATGTCACTTTATTTGCAAAATCAAAAGCGTGCAAATGTGTTCATTTTGTTTCTCTTTATGTTCGATATATGAAAAAATGTTCCCATAGTTTTGTTTTATTACACAAATATTGTGTTGTGTATGTTTTGAACGGTGTGCGCTTGGTAGCATAGCGATTCTTTTGCAAATGAACAAAATGTAAATAGTTAATGTTTGATGGGAAATATCAGTGGGATCAATCATTCATAAACACCTGGAGGGCACAATATAACAACATAACACCATCGATCCTCGAATCAAAGCCGTATATAAAGTTCATGATATGAACTTCACATGTTCATTTCCGTTTATTTTGGTAAAACATGACAGGTCATGAAGACGACCACCGCCTTATCAATCAATGAAACCTTTTATCAAGATAAATTCGTGTTTATAATAGAGAGGCGAACCATTTTGATAGGTTTAGCCTCGATTAAAGTACACGTGCATGCTAGATCGATGTGTGTTTGATTGAGAAACTCATAGAAATAAAAAAAAAAGTGTACCAAAATTTGCAATCGGCCATGCGAGTCGGCATATTTTTCTCGAAAAACCGCCTATCTGAATTCGATCATTTTATGGAGCACTAATTAGTAATAAAACAAAGGCATGTCGATAGAGAGAGTGTGTGAGAGAGAGAGAGAGAGAGAATAAAAGGGGGTTTCTATTGAACAAAAATAGAAACTGATTCAATTTTATCGTCGCATGAATTTTCAATCGTGAATGTGTGTGTCTCTCTGTGTGTGCACGCGCAAGCTTTTTGTTTCTCTCTTGAAAGTTTGAACAAAAGATACAATGTCATTTAAACTTCACTGCAAATCCAAAAATCCAATCGAAATTGGATACTGCACACGATTATGCATAAAAATCAATGTTCGCCTTTGATACATGTATAAAAGTTTGGACCGAAAGGTTTAAATCGCTGTTTATCAAAACTCGTTTACAATGAAAGAGAGATTTGAAAATATGCTAAACGAATATTCGAAAAGCATATGTTTATTTTCACTGCTTCTGTCCTCTGATCGTTGGCCGCTGCTGCTGCTGCTGCTGCTGCTGCTGTTTTCTGCTCTCTACCTCTTAATGTATCTTGTTTTGTTTGCGTCTCTATTCTCTTTCGATTTCATTCGTGTGACAAACTAATAACGGTAATTTCGATATGCCTATGACGACTGTGGTCGCTTTATTGGCTTGTGGCAAACACCCGTATCGTCTACACTTAAGCAAAGTTGTCGATTAAATGCATTTTCTTTGCCTTTTGTCAGCAAACACCATAGAATTGTTCACACATTAAAATGGCAAAATAATGGTGCATTTTAGCAGATCTCTGATTATTACCGCGTTTTAAAACCACGTGTTCGATTGTTTCTAAGTACAATAACAACAATTTAGAGCCGAGCATTCATGAACATGAAGGAAAAAAAAAATTGAAATAAAACGAAACTTGTGACAAAAGATTCTGTGTTGTTCAATTTAGACATTCACCTCTAAATAAGCGGCTCATATATTGCAATTATCATCATATGCGAAGTTTGTGTACTTCAAGATTTGCCATTGTACGCTCTTTGACAAGTACTACGTTTCATTTTTGCTTCGCTTTTCACTACTCTGTTTTGGAAAAATTTCTATAATTTTGGAACTTACAAATTGGAAGTAAATAATCATCAACAATGTTCCTCATTAGATGACGACAGAATCCATTCATTATTACCATATTATGTGAACAGAATCCATTCAAGACTACCAATTAAGTTATGGAAACGGTACAAATGTAGATCGATCGAATCTCTTTCCCTACTGATGAGACTTTGTAAAACAAAAGAGGAACCAATTCTTATTTGCGGTGAAAATGCTAAGAAAAAAAAATTGAAATTATCATCGTGTCGAGTGCTGTTGAGTTTTTGGAACAATTTTGACTATTTTTATACCGTGTGAAAACGACTAAAGGAGTAACGGTGTAACAAAAACGGCATCGACTTTCTCATTGAAAGTTCCCAAAAATGTTTGTATTAATCCTATGAATATTAACAACCGAAAATCTGGTTATAAAACGAAAATTTTGAGAGCAAAAAAAAAATGAAGTGCAAATTGTTGCACTGTAAAATTCACGTAGTGATTTGCATTTAAAGTGTATAACGAAATGATCAAAATTGAAATGAATAGGAAAAATTGCAATTGATTTGTGGTCGAGCAGTTCCATTTTGATCCAAAGCCTCGATATATATATATATGCATTTCACGTACACTTCAGACCTTTGACATTTCGAATAAATAAAAACGACCCATAGAATATATATATATATAAATATATATTGATTACAAGCGTTAATTGCCATTTTGAAAAACGTGCTTACGTATTTCTCATTGTGTTCACGGTAGTTCTTTGATCTGTGTACCCAGTTAACCGGCTTTAAGTGTTGTTCGCCGTAATTTTATGTGACATTAACCGTGTATATTTTCTTGTAGTTTATTGCATATAAATTTTTCATTTCAAGTCGATTGCATTGGATATTCAGGGAGTCTTCAGTAGCATATGAGTGGCGAGTTCATTGGTAAAAATAATGGGCATTTGTAATACGCGCGTACGTTTGATCCCGATTTGATACGTTAAGACGTTTTTATGTAGTTCAATGATACGTGTTGCATTTTTCATTTGCATTGCACTACATTTGTTTTCTGTTTGTTTTAAGCTGCTCAGATCGCAGCGAGCACGCACTGCGCAAAGAACGGGCCAACAAATAAAAAAAACCATAAACTAATTAATATGTAAAATGTAAAAAGCAGCATTTTTCCAACAGAGACGTGGAGAGCGAACAAAAAAAAAACTCCAATTTTAAAGTTCAACATACATATGCGAGCACATATGAGATATATATGTGGCCGTAGCTGCTAATTCGACTGGTCGAACGAATGAAAAAAAAAACTATACGAGAAAAATTAACAAAAAAATAATAATAATAAATAACAAAAACAACGATAACGGCGAACATTCACTTTCTGCTGGTGCTGATTAAGAAAGCAGCCGCTGTAACTAGCAAGCGTCCAAGCAGCGGTGATATCAGCAGCAACAGCAGCAACGACAAAGCTCAATGCGAGCGTCATTTTATTTTATTTTTTATATGTAAACAGACGGCAATGGTCAGAGCGCAAAAATGCCATTTAACTTCGACCCAGTTTATTTCACCAATTTCTCATTTGGACAATTTTATGCGCTGTTCGCAGTGCTCACAATGGCCAACCATTTTATTATCACATAGTTGCTGGTTTCGGTTAAAACGTAAACCAACATCTGGCTCGGTCACATCTTGACTTTGCGCGTGTGTGTGTGTGTGTGAGAGAGAGTTAAGGAGCGAGAGAGTGAGAGATACTTTCGATTGTTTCAATTTGAACGAGCAAATTGCTTTCAAATTGCTCACAAGAACCATAACCATATCGGAAATGGAGAGTGTGTGTTCTTTGTGTCCATTTGACATGCAGACATTTGCCCAAGATTTCATATTTTAGAAGAAAATCGTACATTTCCTTTTCAGCAACGATGCTTCGTTAATTAAGAGAGAAAAGTGCTTTGGCAAGCAGTTATTCGATCTGATTTCATTGTGGAATTCATAGAAGAAAGTCGATTGGAATGGGCAATCTTGTGTAAGAGAGCGAGGGACGGTGTGTGCGTGTGTATCTCTGTCTGTGTGTGTGTTTCAATGTTGTGTGTGATTTGAAATGCAAATCTTAATATCTTAATCTGTATTTGATATAGTCCAATCCAATCGGAATCGCAATGACACACAGAAATAAATTAAATGCCGAAATCGATATCGCCCGTGTATACAATTACGCAATTGGCCAAGCGGGTTGGGTTCACCTAAATGCCAATCTTAGATTGAAACAATATTTCTTTTTTTTAACACCTTTCGCCAGAGAGTTTTGCTGCGTTTCACATTGCATTGTTGTGTGCAAGAATCGATGCTGGTTCCGATGGTGTTGTTTTCTTTTTCGCGTCTTCTCTCTCGCTCTCGCTCTCGCTGTGCGAATGAATAAAATAAATAGACGGCCGCATGCGGTGTGTGGGCCACCAATCGAGCAAAATGGCAAGATTACATCGATCCAATGTGTGTGTGTGTGATTGAACCGTTAAATATTGGTATGCATTAAAATATCCACGCACCATGAATTATCGACACCATCATCATCATCATTATCATCATCGACAAGTGTCAGAAAGTAGAAGCAAAAAAAAAACCAAACCGAAAAAGCGATTGTATTTCAGACAAGCGAAAAAAAGATCTATATGTTTCGATGAAATTATTGATGAATTCATTTGTATTTGTATTTGAATTGCTCAATTTGGCTGGAAAAACGAGAAGAATCAGCACGGTAGGTTTTTGGGAGTAACGTGTTTGATGCTGAGCGCGAATGCACGGGCGAATGCGCGCGAATCAAAACTCCAATAGAAAGCGCTCACTTTTTTTTTGAAATATTTCAACCAGTTGATTTCACCATTTCTCATCGGGCATCCACCGGGTTCAAATGAAAATATCTGCATACCACACCATTTGAATGTCTGCACATCACATTGCATCCCATTTTTATTTACATACAATTTTTTTTATTTATTGCTTTTTTATAACAGCGAAATTAATACACACACAGAGAGAGAGAGAGAGAGAGAGAGAGAGAGAGAGAGAGAGAGAGAGAGAGAGAGAGAGAGAGAGAGAGAGAAAACGGTCAGCTGCCGGAGAGTTGGTTGCCCGCTCACTGTTCTTCTGACGGTTTTGTGTTTTTTTTCTGCATTACATTGATTCATTCTCGGATTCCCTGTAATTTCCCACACGATTCAATTTTTATTGAATGAATTATTTAATGCATAAATCGTGCAGTACTCATCGCGCGCACGATTCGGAAAGCGAACACCAACTGCAACATCAATTGTTTATCGGTTCCCGATATGAAAAAAATAACGCGATAAAAAAATCTCCATCATTTTTATTCATATCGATTGTAATCGCGAAATAATTACAATAAAATATGGTATTCAGCACGATTGGTTTTTGTTACTGTTGCTGCCGTTGAGGTGGGATCTCAAGAGGCTGATCAGTGAACCGAGTTTGCACATTGTGCGGCTGCTTCACTAAGTACTTTTGAAAGCGAGAGTCTCGGTTGCTTTGTTTTTGCGCCGTAGTGTCGGTTGCTCATGTTAAAATTACAAATCCACAAAAGAGTTGCGATTAAACAGAAACAAACGACTGCAATTATTTGATGCTTTATCATCGTTAGATTTGGCATGCACAAGGCGCAGCAGCAGCAGAAACAAAAAAGAGATACACAGCGATCACTGATCACCTACAATAAAATGCAACATTGAACTGGTGAAACATTGAAATGTTGCTTCTTCATGTTCCAAGTAAATCGGTTTCTGGCGGGGAATACGTGCGTTTGCCTGCAAAAAAAAAAACGAAGAGATGCCGGCTGCTGTATTCACTGTGTGTTGTATTCACAGAGTGAGTCATGGATGGTCTTCATCGTCCGTCGTGTGTACTTGGATTTGCTTTGCTTTGCTTTGCTTGATCGTGCCTATTAGAGAGATCAACGGCGATTATCGTCTCCATCTCTCCATGTTTGCTCTCGCCGAAAGAAAAAAAAAAATCCAACTCTCATTCGGTAGGTTTGTCTGCCACCGTTATTTCCATTCATAACTGGCATGTGCACAATTTTATTTTTATTTTTCATTGTTGTCACTCATACCCATGTCATTTCACCTCTTTGCAATGGATCTATATTTGTATAAATGGCGTTGTGACGTGCACCGAACTGGCTGTATGCGGTTTTAATAATGTCTCTTATTATGCGAACGACAACTGATTTGTGCTCGGCTCTGTTGTTTACTCACCCTGATATTGTGCGCGCGCTCGTCGAGTACGGCCACTGAAATCCAGCGTACCACGACGTTGGCAAAATTTAATCGCTTAAATTGACAATATCTGAATATGCGTTCAACATTTGAAAATACACGAAACGACATGCTTCAGCCATATCACAATTATTTACTTCTTTACCGTTTTCTTTCTACCGTTCGTTATTGTAGCTGCTTGTTTTGTGTTGCTCCCCAAAAAAAAAGTGACTGAATCACTCCATATGCTCTGGAATTTATTGCAACGTATGCTAGATGACGATGATGACAACAGTAATGTTTCATTTTCTGCTCTTGTATCGAATCGATGTTTTTCTCTCATAAATCGCTGCAAAGACGATCGGTTGTAATGGGCCTGCTGTTCATTTTCGTAGGAGTTGAAAAGATGATTTGATCGAATGGACGTTTGTTTCTGCGAAAACAGCGAAAATGTGACAGGAAAAGAGTTGTCACTGTGCAATATGCACAGTATGATAATTATTTTTATATTTGGAACCTCTCTGTTTGTTGGCTCTGTACGTCCCCGCAGCAAGACAACAAGTACACCACAATCGTTTTGCAATCAAGCGATTTTTTTTATTCCAATCTTGCCCGAGACACTTGACGTTAACTACTTGATGAAAAGCAATTTACATACACATTTTGACATTCTGCCACCTGCAATATCGAGTTGAGAGAACTATTGTCACCGCTCACAAAGGCGAAAATTGTCCGATCTATGTATGCCATGGTTAAACATCAACATTAAATGTAATTGTCCCCAAGAACGTATACACACCAATTTCAATGAGAGAAAGAGATGTGACACATTCATCCATTTGCGCACATTTACCACACAATTTTTAAACACCAAACATCAAGCGACATGCTTATAAATACGGCGATGAACACCGGTCAAGTGAATCCATTGTGTGGACATTGGACAACAGACACGTCACACAGCACGGCCACTGGCCATGATTTCAAATGATTCCATGTAATACTCTATTGTCACACAGACCTCACTCACCAGACAATCTTTCGGAAATCTCTCATCAAACCCCAGATTTAATTGAGTTCAAAAGTGATTCAACGAAGACAGTGGCAACTTTTTTTCTGACAATATAATGGCTTGGACAAATATGTAAATCAAAAGAAGTGGAAAAAATCTGAAAAATTAAATGAAAAAAAAAATACCGCCCAAAAGTGCCATCAACCAGGTTTTGTGCCAACCAAAACTGTACTTGATATATTCGCGCGGTAAAAAAAAAGTCACTTACTTTCAAATGTAGTTGAATTTTTGTTCTTTATTTTTCTTTCCGCATTTACGCAATCACCGCACAATGTGGCTGTGGAGCATTTGGAGACGCAGTAATATCGAATTATATAAATGCGCGCTTTAATGGATTACAATTTTCGTATAAAATGATTTCCGTTTAATTTCCCGTGTGCGTACGCCGGCGATAAGATGCCATTTAAAGTTCATCATCAAGTATATGTTTTCAATTAAGCCACTTTTGATTCGACGAATTTCGAAAGTGAATGTCAATTTTGTTGTGTGTGTGTGTTTTTTCCCGTTGATTCCGCAATTTCCTCTCGCCATAAAGAGCCATCCATAAACCACATCTCAATTCACAGAGATTTTTCAATTTAATGGGTCATTTTTCTGTCAAAAATTTTCCGTCTTTTATTATAGTATAGAGTATATAAGTTGTTACAAAATTCATATTACAAAATTGAGAGAGACTATGTGATCAAATGGTTTTTGATATAGTTATTGTGAATTGGTCTCTAAAAACGGCTCTAGCCGTGTATTTAAAAACAAAAATCTCTAAAAGATTTCTTAAGTAAAAAAAAAAGTAAATGTATTGACAATTGATTCATTTTGATACAAAAAGAGTGTTGTTGTTGTTTTTTTCATGGTTAATATACGAGTTGTCAAAACTCGTGGCTCTCAATCTAGGAGGCATTTTCATTTGATCCAAGTGATGCATTCTTCGTAGAATTTGATCACTTTCTGCGGATAATTGCGTTTGATGATGTTCACCGGCACCCATTCCTCTTCGTCCATTCCCTTGAACTCCACCAAAAACATCACCTCGCCCGATATGCGTTTCATGTCGTTGATGCGCACCAAATTGTCGGTATTGTACACAAAATCCGTCATCTTCGATTGATGCAGGTCACCGGGTGATTTCATCACATCGTTACCATTCACTTCATGATTCGATTTGAGTTTGGGCTATGGAAAAGAAATCATGAAAGAATGAGCATATTTGACAGAACAGTGCTATACACACATAATTTGCCCAACACATTGAAAATGAAAAAAAAAAATTGAGAGAAAATTGTTGCAAATTGATGCATTGCATTGACTGCGATTTTTTCTCTCTTTATTTTCTTCTTTCAATTTCGATTTTCTTTTCTCTGTAGCTACTAACACTCTCACGAAGTACCTACTGACTCTCTCTGCTACTGATTACTGAGTGTGTTCAAATAGCATTGTGGTGATCACTGATTAAAATTCAGATACAAATGTATGAATTTCACATGAAGACACCCAATTGGTTGCTAACTGCCCCAAAATATGATTCTACTCTAGAAATACTCACTTTACTTCCACGGCGTTTTTGCGCGTGTTCAAATTCATTGATCAGTTCAGCGCACGACAAATTCGCGATGGGCTCCCATGTGTTCTCAGCCACCGGATAATTCTTCCACTTGATGTTGTAGTGAATCTGACAATGGGGTAAAGCAATTGAAATAAAATTAGCATCAATTGAGCTCACATCAATGTTCAAATGTACAACGAGAATAAATCGCACACACAAAACACAGCCCAAAGTAATGCAAATTATTTGTTTTCAATCAAGTACATCGCAAATCATTTTCCATCAACTCATACTTACCACACCATTAATCACTTTCTTGCCATCGACTCGTTCCACCTCATAATCAATTTCGGAACTCGCTGAGTCGGTGCTTGAATTCATAATTTTCGGTTTTTCTTCAGAAAATTTGCCGAATAAAAAACAAAAAAAATAACAACAACAATTTGAAATGTGTCTGTTCTACAGCGATTAAAATGCAATTGAGTTTAAAAGAAAAATGTTTCGTTTTGCTTGACACACGAAGAAAAAGCATGTGCTTGCCGCCAAAAACACTCCAAAATGACCGGCACAACGATGTGACAGCTAGAATATTTTGGTGTGCATATTTGTGTTGAAAGTGTAATTCGAGACGGGAACACTGAATGTCATACGCTGTCGGTGACAATATGCTTGGGCCGAGAGCAGTGCTACTTGTTTTGATCATCGCATTCAATCGGAACCTAAAAAAAACTCACACAATGCCAATTTCAGTTGCATTTGTATTGGTGTCACCGATTTGGCGATTCAAGCGGCTACTGTATACAATATTTGAAACAAACAACTGTTGTTGGGTTCACATTTTATTTCGATGTTTTTATTTTTGCTCAATATTTCCATATTAGAAAAAAAAGAGTCGTTTGTTCGAAAATATTCTTTCATAAAGTTCAAAATGCTTAACAATAGAATAATCTATTTTCACTGAGATACTGAGGAATTGCAATGACATAAAAAAAGAGGAAAATTATTTGTTTTCTATGACTTCATCACGACAAGTTTGCGTTGAGCTGGTGAGCTGGCAGTGCGATCAAAATGCATTTCGTATTGTTTCTTGCGCAAAATGATTCTGGTTTCGTAGTAATCGATGAGTGGAATGGGATCGGTGCGTTTAATTTCGTTGACTGGTACCCATTGAGGTTTCGTGATACCTTTGTATTTTACCAGACATTTTACCTCACTTTTTGCGTCCCATCTGATTAAATCGAGAATGCGTTCGACATCTGCTCGATCGTTGGTAGCTTCCTTGTCACTTTGACACACCCCAACAGCGGGTGCTTGTGCATTTTGTGCCGTATTTTCGATGTCCGTATCAGTTTTGTTGTAATTATGATCAGGTGCGATTGGTTGTTGTTGTTGTTGTTGTTGTTCCGTGTTGGGTGTCGTTCGCTTGCTTTCCTTTTGATTTGAAAATCCAGATAAAGAACCAAATAAATGGTGTTAATTAAGTGCTCGCTTGTATCGTTAGATGGGAAATAAATTGGAACATTTTGTTGGTGATATGAATTCGTTACGGTTTCGGGTCATAATTGGCACTTACATTTGACGGATTACCGATCGGCTGGAAATGGGACATGAGTGAATTTTCAAACTTTTTAATCGCCTCTTTGTACAGCAATTCTTTCGATGATATCCAAGTATTTTCCGATTCTGGCACTCCAGCCCATTTTACCAAGTACTCATCCTAAATATCAAACATAAGCATAACATCAACAGCAAATATTGCCGAGCACACAAACGAAAATCAATCGCTGATTGATCGAACAGACAAAAAAACATCAAGCGAGAAGAAAAAACAAGTGACTACTCACTTTGTTGCCGTCGACGGTGCGTTTGGCGACAATCTTCTCGAATTCATGATACACTCGCACATTTTCATCTTTCGCACTCTTCTGCAGCTTTCGTTCAAAATTCCGAATTAATCGAGTGCAATTCAAATTGTCCAGTGGTTCCCATGTATTTTCGGAATCCGGGTAGCCTTTGTATTTGATCAAGTATTGTGGCTAAAACACATAAAACCAATGTATTGAATATACAAATGACTCACTAAAACTTCACTTGTGAGAAAAAAAAACTGGCTGCCCATACGAATGAGACGAAGTATGAAATTTGATCCTTTAGACTTAACGGTTTGAGAAATTTGGCGCGAATCATTTCTACATACCTTTCCCACAACGATGCGTTTGTCAAGAATCTTTTCAACTTCGAAAATTTCCTCATCGTCCACCGGTTCCTCCTTGATGATTTTTTTGGTAATTGATGATCGGCGGCGGCTCATATTAGCAACAGATTTGGTTTTGTCAAAATAGAAAAAAGTCTTCTTTTTTCTCCTACTCTCTTTGACTTTGATTTGTCACCAAATTTTTTTTTTTGGAGAACAACGAATAAAATCAATCGTTTTTTTTATCAAATTCACGATTTTTTTTAAAAATAGAAAAATAGATTTTAAAACCAAATTACTAAGGACTAGTAAAGAAAATATTGATGAAAAATGCACAAAAATGAAATACAAATGAAACGAAACGAAATGGTCTTCAACGATACATAAATGACACAACAAGAGACGCTAACCGAATGAGCACACTCACAATCGTCAGCACTTTTCGATGCTCCGATCTTTTTTTTTTTCATCGTCGGTCAAACAAACAGCAAAAATATATCGTTCAATGCATCGAGCGCTCTCTCAAACACTTACACTTTCGATGTGTCAGTTTGTTTCGTGTTCTGTGTGCGTTGTAGTTGTTGTTTTTATTAACATTTTTTTTTATCGTCTCTTTGTTCTTATATTCGTTCTGTTTGGTGATCGCTGTGAGTATACTATAACGGCACCGGCATCAATAGCACACCATTTACGAATCGCACTACAATAACATGCTACGATGTGACCTGCCTGGGCTCTGTGTGCATGGAGAAACAAAGTTCTAATGTCATATGAATGTGTACGTCAAAATTGAAACAAAGTGTACTTCAATGTGAAATGCTGAAAACTTTGGAACAACTTTATGAAATGAAATGCGAAACAAACCAACTGATTTTCTTTCTTTCGTTCGTTCTTTTATTTTGTTAGAACAACATTTTATTAGATAATCGTGTGGAACATCGTATAATCTAGTCAACTAAATTTGATGTGACTTTTTTTCTCTTATGATATTGATGAATTTGTACTTTTTTCTGAAAGTACTGCTACTTTGTAATGAAAAAACATAGTAATGAAATATATATATATCGTGATGTCAAATTACGTTCAAATGTTTTTCATTTGAAAACGACGATGCTTTGGAAGAAAGCGATGACATTTTCCGCATACTTGGTGACCATAACATCCCGGCCAATCCATTCTTCTTCGTCGCTGTTCTTCCATTTCACCAAATATTCATGGCGACCTTCACGCTTGCGTAAACTCTGAATACGATCCATTTCTTTGGTTTCTTCTTCTTCTTTCTTATTGGTCACAGTTTTAAGCGGTGGTTTTGACGTTTTTCGTGTCTTCGGCGAATTTGCAACAGGACTAGCTGACTGTGGAACACTTTTACGCATACGTTTCTTTGTTGGCTGTTCGGCCGCCGCTTCGGAGATTTCGTCAATTTGTCGCATACGCTTTCTTGCTCTTGTAATTGACTTCTCCGGTGTTGGTTGTTCGGCCGATGCATCATTTTGCGTACGCTGTGGCGTACTTGCAATTGGCGCCTTCAGTGGTGTTGACGACTTTCGTTTTCTCGATGGCGTTGCCTGAATCACAGCATCCTGGGCGAAAAAAAAAAAACGAAATCAATAACAAATCTTAGCTATTTTTCTTTGAACAAAGTTACGATACGGAATTTTCAACTGCCGTTTTGGATTGAAATATATATGACATTGTGTGTTCATTATTTTTCAGACTGGAAATTACCCACCTGTGCTGTATCACGTGTTATTTCAGGTTCTGCCTTTTGCTTCGAAAACAAGTCATCCACCGATTGCCATGAATTTTCCGACTCTGGAAAATCTTTCCATTTGATCAAATACTCTCGTTTCGATTCGCCATTCAATCGTGAATCAAGAACCTTTTCGATAGCATAGCATTCGCTGCTAACTAGTTTCACTGCTTGCTTTCTTACCATCTTTCAATTTTTCGTGATGAATCGTTTTCTTTCTTTTTTTTTCTCTGTCTTAGAATTATTACTTTTTCTTCAAAATTGTTTGATATTTTTCGATATTGTTCAATTTTTGTCAATCAATTTTGTTGTTTAGTCCCAAAAAAAAAATGCTCGAAAATGTACTTCTCGTCCTGAATTGATTTAATTGTCGTTTAGCCACACACTTTTTAGCGTCTGATACCGTACTGCTCTGCCATCTTGTTCGGATCTATTTGAAAATTTGTTCTCTTCTGAATGTTCGTTAAATTTGAATGTGAGACGAATGCGATGTTTGTGTGTCATTGCTGTGTGACAGTCCGAAAAATGTGCCCGAATTTTACTAGACACACCAATACACACAAAACGGGAACGCAATACAGAGAAAGAAATTCAGTGAGCTTAATCAACACCATGAAATTACTTGAGCGTCTCATTATGTCTCTTTCATTATACCGCCGACTCTGTCTGATTGAAATCAACCGGTCATACATTCGTTGTCGTAGTGTATGCCATTAGTTTAATGGTGTGAATCTGTGTCCAATTTCCTATTTCGAATCATGCAATTGGCTGTCACTAAAACGTAATCCGTCGCCGAAATCGTAAATCGGACCGTAGGATGGCAATTATTCATTTTGAATACGCGCGACACATTCTCTTTGCCATTTTTAGGCATATTTTCTGCATTTAAAGACCAAGAAAAAAATATTCGACACTTAACGGCTCAAATCAAATAGGCAAATTGGTCGGAATGTAGACGGCGAAAAAAAGTCGAGACAATCGAATTGAAAAAAAAAAATAAATAATGAACTGTGTCAATTATGCGCATAACTGTCATTTGGTGCCATATTTTCTATTGCATGCATTACAATTTAACCATTTGGTGAATTTGCATAATTCCAAATAATTGCAATCGGTGTACATGTTCAAGTGCAGTATACGCGCGAGCTACGAGGAATGAAAACACGCGAGAAAAAAAACTAACGCCATGATTATCCATTGTCGATTTGTTGATTCAGCTGAGCGAAAGAGTAAAAATTGTAGCGAGATGTGCGCAATCAATTTTCAATGTGATAATAACTTGATAGAGTTGTTTGGATGCTCGGAACAAGTGAGTAGTATTTCAAGTTGCTTTCATTTTCACCAGATTGTGTGTGTGCTTTAATCGGAGCCATGTAAATAGGCGATTTTACAGAAATACTCTTAAATTATCGACAAATTGTCGATGATTAATTTACTCGACCCCGCGTCGCCTTTGTGCTTGAGTGTGTGTATTTGATTTTCGATTCTGTTATGGTACTTTCTTTCGCACGGCTGGTTATCGTCGTATAAATTTGCAGTAAACACCGTCTCGTCACACATCGATTGGCGTAAGTGATGAAACTGGATAGAGGCAATTGGCTTCTCGAGGCCAAGATCATTATCTCCTTGGGTGTCTTCGACTTGGGCTAGGTGCATGAGCTCTCGATACTCGATTCCCAGTCTAAGAGACGCTATCATTTGCTTTTTTCTAGCATTTTTTTTATCTACACCATTCAGCCCAAGTTCATCTCTCGTATGATAATTTATTAATAGAAGAAAAGCAAGCGTGTGCGCGAGTCAAACACACGTCAGTGTTAAGTTAATGGGCTGGCTGTATACATAGTTTAAAATGCGAATCATATTCCATTTTCATCTCTTTCACCCGGCAATTCGTTTTCCTACCTTTGGTCTCTATCTCTCTCTGCACACGCTGCGCATCGCAGTTAAGATGAGCAGTATGCCATAAATGCGGTAAAAAAGTGAAACTTTTGTCGTTTTTAAACAGTCATTGTTGTTGTTTATTTTTTTTTCTATCCACCTCAAAAGAAATATTAGCGAAGATGAATCAAACAATGTTCGTTTTGAATGATGAGCACGTCGTTGCGGCAAATAAAGATTTTTTTTTTTTGGATTTCAGAAAGTGATTCATGCTTATCTGCAATTAAATAATCGATTTCGATTGAAAACTGAGTTTGATTCCGAACTAAAAATGATTATTCGATCGTACATCATGCGCTTTAGAAATATTGCCATTAATTTTCGGTGAACGTAATCCAATCAATTTGAATTGCATAGAATTGCTCTGTCAAATCATCCGGGCGCGTTCAATCATACCTGTCGAAAACGGAAAAGCCACAAGCGGTGTGAACCATCACAGACATACTCACACACACACACAATGAAGCCCTACAGCTCAGTCCAGCCCCGGCAAAACCGATTTCACTTGTTGTTTTTGCAAATGTGTCAATTACATGATAACGGCATTTTGTTACGACCCATTGACAAATAATCAAAACAAGTGAAATGTGCAATAAAAATGACAACGCTCACTCATTCGTTCGTTCGCATATATGCATCGAATACAGGTACATATTCATCGTGCTTATAACATTGCTCTTTGACCCGTTTTGTTCGTGAAAAACGGTTCGACTCTAAAAATCAGCTATGTGACTTGTGCCGGGATGGAGAGACAATGTTGATCATTCATGCCATATGGAATACATCATCATAAAAATTGCCATGATTTTACAACACGAATCCACAAACAAAGTGATTGAAATAGGCAACAGCATTAATTTTCAGCATATTTTTTTTTTATGTCAATGAATATTTTCCCATTCAAAACCAAATCAATTTACATTTTTGTGTGTATGTTTTACATCCGTGACAACAACAAGTGTCGATGATAAATGCCAGGTCGAAAATGATATGTTTCCGATGTTTTATGCAATTTATTGTGTTTAATTGGCTATTCAAGCGAAAGTTCAGCACAAAATTGGTTTCTGTTGTTGTTATTGTTTGGTCGTCGCGTATCATAAAAGGTATTTATGCGAATGCGTTGCGAAAGAAATAGAAATTTCGCATAAAAAACCACACATTTGGCTATATTTCAGCTATAGATAATTGTATGGTAGACTGACTAATATACACATAAATTAAATGCATTAAATTCTGATTATTTTATTCCCGTTATATGTTTTTTACAGCCCAATCGCAGTACACGTGAGAGCGTCCACATCGCGCACGAGAGAGTTCAGATCGAGTGGAAAGATATCGTGAAAATTAGCCGATTTACATTGCCCCCCCTCCCCCCGAACAGAACAAATTACAACGTATCAACGCACAAGATAAACACCTAAACACGGATCACAATGAAACAATTGCTACGTCTTTTAACAGCTTTAATGCTGTTCTTTGGATTATGCCACATTGTTAGCGTAAGTACTCCCATTTCCCCATTTTCAACTTCTTGTTATTGGTTTAAGTTTTCTTTCGTTTTCTTCTCCCTTACTCTCGTAAGTTTTCACAAAACTTTGTACCATAAAAGTTTGAAAGTGTGTAATTTGCTGTCGCATACTGAATTCAAATCAATGAGCTGTTGGAATTGGTTTTTTGACCAAACTAACTGACTACGAGTGTCATGGAATGTACCGAAAAAGAGATTTTTTTCTGTTGTTGTTGTTGCGACATTATCTAGAAAGATATAGAGAGAGATTTTGCGACATTTTCAATGATAATTGTCGGCTTGATTATTTCAATTACTTGCTGAACAAAAGATAAACTAGTTAAAGTCCACGCAAGACTTATCGTGAAAGTGAAATCGAAGCAGCTGACTGTTGTATGAGTGTTGTGTTTGTGTGTGATAGTCATTGGACTTCATCGTTGTGTCCACTTCGCGACATCGTAGCTCACGCGCGTACTTTGTCTCCGTATATCACTTTTTACTTCATTTGCGCGTGTTTTTCCCATGAAAAAAGAAATTCAAATGCTTTTTCAACGAGAGAGAGAGAGAGAGAGAGAGAGAGAGAGAGAGAGAGAGAGAGAAGAAGAAGAAGAAGAAGAAGAAGAAGAAGAAGAAGAAGAAGAAGAAGAAAACCGCCGTTTGCCACATAGTATACATGGAAGACACACTGGCCAAACGCACATGAACCATAACCAACGGTATATAAAACCAAAATTAAAAACAATATAATTAAATAAAATAGAAAAAGAAACACAAAAATTAATGAATAGTAACATTAGTTTTGCCTTATTTGAGAAGAAAAGAATTGAACAAAAAAAAAAAAATCGTCGACAATGACAAAACAGCCAAATAACGAACCAACGGCTTTTTTCTGCGTTTTCTTCTTCTTAATTCCACATGAAAAATTATACCTAAAAACCGGCACACAATTCATTTCCAGCGGAACAAAAGAAATTCGCATCCAAATAGACGCGGCAGAAAGAAAGAAAAACGATGAAGAAAAATAAAACGACCAAGAAAATGGTGTAGAAACATGTCATACACACCACTTGTGATTGATTAAATAAACATAGACAATAGTGCACCAACAATGGACACGATCGCAACGTTCACAGTTGATGTGCACAATGTACTTACTACACAGATATGGTTATATCATTGTTGCACATCATTTAATAATCATTTAATGAGAGGAAAAATCAACATTTTCTCCTTTCATTTTGGTGTGTTTTCCGCGCAAAAATGAAGTATGTCACGAGATGTTGTGACCCATGTTTCCTAGTTATTGCCGGAACTTAGGCTTACGTACTACTGTTTACTTTCCTGGATTTGTTTTTTTTCCTCTTTTTTTTTTCAATGGAAAATTGCCCAATTCTATCCAAAACATTCTTCGCAACAAATGGGCCAGCCAAGTTTTTATTTTCCGCAAACATTTCTTAAGAGACTCCCAACTAAAAAAAACGCCAATTTATCAACTCTATTATATACAATGGCGTTGTCGTCGTGTTCGTCTGAGTGTGATCAATGTTCGTGTTTGAGAATGATTCAATCGATGTGCACATATTGGTCGACCTGGACTGAACAGAGAAATGAAATCACTTTCATATTTCCAATTAATTGATGGCGCATTTAGATCGGCTACCATTTCCAATTGAGCATTACTTTGTTTGAAAACTCAATCAACGAAAAGAAGTTAATTAACTGGCGCAGTTCGCCCCATCGGTGCTCGGTGTGTGTGTATGTGTCTATCCGATTTTGGAGATTTTCAGCATGATTAGGCATGTTTGTTATTGTTGTTGTTGTTATTGTTGTTCCATTGGCGTTCGTGTATAATCGTTTTCAATGTTGAACTTGTTGCAATTGAAAGTTGAATGACATCAAGATTCTGTTGTGTATGTATGAATTAAGTGCTACATGTTCCAAATGAATGAGTTAGAGCCTTATTAAAAGCGATCATAAGTGTCAACAAAGCATTTCATTGATTATGAGTGTGTGATTCAATCTCATCATAATATTACGTGGTGGACAATGAGTGGTGTGTGTGAGTGTGTGTGTGTGTGTGTTTGTGTCTAAAAATAGCCGCGCGTTATGAAACTATGACTTGACAAATATTTGAAAATTGATTTTTTTTCCCTTTCGCATTGTTTTCGCATCGATCAATAAGTGATTCATTATGATGCGATCGACTGTCTGTTCACTTTGATCGGCCATTCGAAAAAAAATTGGCACAAAAAAAGGTAGTTGTAAAATTGATTCGTCAATTGATTTTACGTTACGTCGGAATTGTACTTTTAAAATCAGAAAAAAAACCATGCAACTTTTCGCATGTGTGCGTTTCGGTTGGCTATTGTTTTTGTATCGCTCTGCCTATAACTTGTTGCTCAGGAAAAAAAAAAACAATATTTGTACTAACAAAAAAACCGAGCAAAACCCATTGCACGAATTAAATTTGGGCTGAGCCTTTTAACCGCTGCCAACACATTGTAAGCGATGATTTATCGTGGACCAAACAGAATAATACACTCACAAAAGCCACACAAATTAATTTCCACTTCATTTCTTCAACCAAAAAATTAATTATATGTGAATCCACATACGCACACACACACAAGCGAAATGCTGAACACAAAATCAAACTCTACAAACACACTGTTGTGATGTGTGTTGCTCTGCATGCAGCACAACCGAAAAAAAACTATACCACAATTTCGAATAAACCGGCTTATACAGCATATACTCACAAAAAAGAGAGAATCCACTCGTTCGATCGATACATATGCTGTTTTGAAGCCAGTAAGTTTCTTTTTTTTTTGTTTCTTCTCGTTGTGTTTTGTTTTTGGTCTCGATAAAATTCATTTTGCACATATCAATTTACATGCCGGTAGCCGACAATCCATGGAATCCGCCTTTTTCTTCTCGTTTACTTTCTATTATTTCTTTACCTGGGTCAATGGGCAACATATTTATTACGAGCGACGAAACCAAAAAAAAAAAAAAATACTTGAGCTTGAACCTTAAGGGAATATTCTTCGATGCTTCTTTGAAGTGTCATTTCTGAAAAATGGTCATTCGCTTCTTTTTTCATTGTCTTTTAAAACTCTCGACAAATTGAATAAGACTTTACAACGGCTTATCGAACGCAGAAGTAAAATATTGCGAAAAAAAATGACATATTACCCAAAAAACCAATCAATCGTGTATACTGGTCGAGTAATTCGATTCTCGCCCAGCTGATTTTCATTCATCAACGCCGAAAATTTTTCAATGGTAAGAAATAGCCACCAATGTTCATTTTATTTGTTTATGTTGAGTTTTATTCAACCGGTTTCTGGGTATTACGGATATAAATTCACCGCTAATGATGCAATCACATCGAAATGCAATTGATTATGTGTATCAAAATGTAATTCAATTGTTCAATCAGAGCTTATGTCAAGACGATGAGGTATCAGTGTGTTTGTCGGAGGAAAATTGCTGCTGCCATCAAACGTAAAATTGAACAGAAGCCCTCGAGAGAAATGACACATGCGACAGTTTAGAGAAAGAGATATAAATTGCCTGGAATGCGTTCGTTTATATCGACCAAAGCGTGTCCAGATGCCAAGATATGTATACTTTTGGCTTCAACAGCAGCCACCGTGGTTCTGTGTTGCGTTTCGAATGTCAGTTGTCATTCGGGTTTGGTCATTAGCACGGTAAGAATTCGCGTGATATTAATAATAATAGTCGGTAGAAAAAGAGAAAGTAAACATGATTTCCGAATGAGAAGAGCCACAAGCATTATCACTAGAGTGCGCTAGAGCACATATTTTTCTGCTGCACGCAACAACTCATCCAAGCAATGTGTTTCTATTAAATTGCAATCGGGTAGTGTTGAATAAAGAAAAATCGGACGAAAAAAAAACTGAAGAATTTTTGTTTGCTGTGAGCGTGGAAAAATGTGTCATGATTAACGGTACGATGGATGTGAATGCGTTTCGCCAAATTGGACCGAGCAATTGCTGCAACAGAGAGCAATACAACACCCGTTGATTTGCAGCCAATTCGCGGTTCGCGCGATTGGATGACGCGCGGGTCTGTTATCGGAGCATTACAACATTCTCTTCGTTTTTCATCTTCACTGCTGCGATTCCCATGGCCAAATGCTTCAATTATATCAACAAAATAAATCTATTTATCGACAAATCACCGCCTAATTTTGTCTGCGCTCAAATGAAAGCAAATACATTTTGCACGATTATTACACACATTTAATTTCATTTTTCGACCGACAGTTTCGGTTTTTGTGCTGTTTGATTTTTTTCTTCTCTCTTTTCATTCTCCGCTCCATTTGAATTTGCTACGATGGTTTTTTCTCTTCTTCTCTCTTCACGTTCATGCACATTAACGGACAATTTTGAACGCATTACACACAATGACCAATCACTCATGCAACACTGATCTGAATCATTATTATCGCACGTAATTTTTCCACTATTTCATGGAAATTACTGCACAGACAGCCGTTTTTGTGGCGCTTTCCACGCGCATCAACCATTCATCCCAAGCGTGCAAGTGGCCATGCGAGTTGTTTAGCCGCGAACGTCCTCCAATCAAGATATGTGAGTGTGTAGTGTGTGTGTGTGTGTGTGTGCAAGTGTCGGAGTGTCATGTACTCTTCAAATGCATGTGAAAAACAAATATCCAATTGATCGCGATGCTTACGACCGTATGACGATCAGCGAGAGAGAATTAGATAATGCCATTTCACACATGTTTAGATGGGACGAGTACGTACATTGCGATGATGGCAATCAACATCTCATCAGATAGTCGTTAGCATATTTCGCTGTTGTTGTTATCGATTTTGTTTTTTTCGGTATGGTGTAGGGTCATCGGGCAGGTGATGCACGTATTCATATTCTCTCCAAATTTCCTGCTCACTCAGTCATCTCAAGCGTGCGCGCGTGCGGTCGCATTGCCCATTCGCTACGCTCATTGTGAGAACACAACACTGATTTTCGAATTGAGAAATTACATGCTTTGTTATTAGTTTTGTTCGTTAGCTTGGCGCGTCTATTGATTGTGCGCTTTATTCTTTTGGTCCATTGTTAGCTCAATTTGTTTTCCACTTTCTGCTGTACCTCAAGCAAATTACCGGCTTATTTATGCAATTGTCACATTTGTTAATCAGCGAAATTGGTGAATGCGATAAAAGCAGCAAAAGCAACAACAACAAAAAAGAAGAAGAAGAAAAATGGCACAGCATTTCATAAGGAATTCATGGGAAATAGATATTGAACTTAAGTCTCAAGCTCTCTGTCCGTGGTTTGGTTGATAAGCTTCCTTGAGCAGATTTCATGCGGTTGCATCATTGCTATAATAATTTTGCATGCAATTACCCAATGGCCTTGTGTTATAGATTTTTCCCCAAACTAATACGTTCCATCTAATAAGAGCACAATTTCGAGAGCTCTACTTATTCCAAATATAAATCGTCTTTGGGCAAAAATCAATAAATATTTCAACGATTCAAGATCTATTTTGAGGTATTGACACACAAATTTATATGAATATAATAATTGCATTAATTAGTGATATATATATATATATATATTCGGCAGCTAAGTCTTATACGTCGCGGCTGCCAATCCATTAGTTACAAATCGGATGGATTTACTTCACCAATGTTTTCGAGTGTTTTGGTGGTGAGTCTAAGTGAAATAAGCCGCTGAAATGCGGGAATTATAATGCGAGCGAAAAGTAATTACCTACAAGTCACGACCATCGTTTAGTGGATATCTGAAACGAATCGATAAAATGTGTAGCACGTGAGGAAAGCCGTTGGCCAGAATTAATTTAGCAAACGGTGAAATATTATAAGCTAGATATATAAACAAGCCTAAATATTTAAACATGCACTCATCGGTTAATGGATGAAGAGCATATTGAAAATGTGTGTTTTTTCGGTATCCGAATGCAGCAACAGCGAAACCGTAGAAAATGTATGGCTGGATCAAGTTTCGCTGATCGGGTAAGCGGACAGACGCGTATCATGGGAACAACGATGCAGTTGATTCACCTTGACTTTTGTCTTTCTATTTGCAACACGATTGCAAATTAAAATATTAAATTGTTCAATGCGACACACAATCACACACTCCAACTCACTCGAGGGTCGCTCCAATTTCAAAATTCACCACGTCAAACAAAAGGTCAATTGGTTAAATGATTTGGATGTTGTTGAGCTGCCGGCTTTTTGTGGCCGCCAATGAATAGTGTATAAAACGTGTATTGCGGTATCACAATGGGGCTCAACATTCAGTGGTGATGATGGTGGTGTGTATCTGCATATGTGTGGAACACAGTTTTCATTAAGTTGCACAAGCATATGACATACACATGCAAACACGAAAATAGAAAACAATTTCCAAAACATTTTACGGATGAGAGTTAGGAAGAGGCAGAGACACAGACGCAAAGACAGAGAGACAGAGAGAGAGGGAGAGAGAGCAATGACAATAAAATATATGTAAAATTATCCATAAATGTTTTGGCCAAATAAAATCGTATCGAATATATTATGATATATGTCAAATTGAATCGAGCGCTATTAATATTAATTTGTAAAACGATGCTGCTCGAAGGCATAGAAATGAAGTCACACACTTGATTCACATTTCTCTTCCGCTTTGCCTTCGGTACAGTATTAAACGTCTTTTCGGATTTTGTGCTCCATGGCATCACACCATCAATTTCTCTCTTTCTCTCTTCCTTTCTTTTACCACCCGAGACGAACTGCCTGTTTGCTGAACCGCACAACGCAACGCAATTTACTGGCTGGAACAAATCGAGAGAAATGTTTTAAGTTGAAACTATCGTCTGTTTGTTCGTAATTTAAAGCATATTTCCCCCAAAACTACGTTGGAAATTTTGTAGAAAAACGTCGAGATTAAATACTGCCATTGAGTTTGATTAGTTGAAGCATGGTCCCCATGAGTTGCAGTATGTACGTATGTGTGTGTGTGAATGCGGTTTTTCTGATTTTCTTCATTTCATACGTTGCAGTGTTCGCTTGTTCACTGTGGAATTTTCCCCCAGAGTATGATCTATCTGAAGAAAAACACACATACACACACAGTGTGTGTCTCTCCTTTGCTTGGCTGTGATGCGTGCATCGGAAAATCGTAAGCATCATTAAGATTGTGAACCATGGTGCGGTTGAAGAGAATGGGGCAGATGAGATTGAGAGAGAATACCTTACGGCATGTTTATGCCACCGCATACTAAATATGAATTAAAAAGCATCATACTTAAACAAGACTAAAATGTTCAAGTGTTCATTCTGTCGCCCTCATCTTTGGCGCATATATTCATTCTAGATGGTTTTGTCGTTGGGAAGAGCACTTTGTGATGCAGAAAAAAAAGACGAGATAGAGTTTTTATGCAAACAAAAAGTCATTCAGACTCAATGTTTACTTCCTGCATCAAGTCACTTTGAAGTGAGGCCTTCGCATATTACTTGACTCCTGCATCAGTCGTCACACGCTATAAATGGCCACTTGAAGTGCGTCAATGTGTCTAAATCTCATTCATGTCATATTCTTAATGCATTCTCGTCCAAATTACCGCTGCAAATATTGTGCACACAAAAATAAACCCACCGAAGACATTTTCATTCCTTCCATTTCCAAACATACACATAATTCAAGGTCATAATCGCCGCACAGTTGAATTCGTGCACTGATTTATTATTATGGACTGTCGAACACACTTCCTTACACAAAACCCACAAAATGGATATTTCCAGTCAGGGAGGATTTGCTCCAATTATCACCGTTTAAAATGCATTTCAATGTCCAATGCTCGCCTGCTTTTTTGACTGCATGATGGATTGTGTGCTGTGTGCTGTGTGCTACAATCAAGAAAATATAAAGAGAAATACATTGAAATGCAGTTGAAGAAAAAAAATGCGGACGTGCTTAAAAATCCACACACACACACACACACACACACACACAACGTACGTACAACAACATGTAGCTCATGGTAAAATTGAAGCAAATTGAGAAACAAGCTCCTGAAGAAATAAGAATGAATAATGTAAAATACAATATTTTTAACACAAAATCCGCTCTCAAAAACAACTTTCAAATCAACTTATTGCTGCCAACAAATTAACTGATCGATATAATTTATTCGCTCGGCCGTTTTTTTTAAATATATTTTCTTTCCTCAACTTCTTCTGTTTTTCCATTTGGCGTGTTGAGTTGTGTGTGTGTGTTTTTTGCTCTGTTTTGTTTCAATATCTCTTGCTCTGTGTTTTGACGGCGATGGCCGCTCTTTGTATCTCTCTTCTTAAAATGTGGTTGGCATGGCAGAGAGTGTCAATGTAATTGTTCCGTTTTGATTATACCAAACAAACCGCACGTTTTACCGCTGACTGATCTGGATTATAATTACGTGATCGCGTAATATTATTCAATCGTGCTCATATTGTCCTTTTGAATGTCGATGATTGCAGCTGTATGTGAAATGATGCTGGGACACGCGTGCGTTTTAAAGGTTGTCGTCCACTGTGTGCCCAAACAAAAATGCCGAAATAATTTATATATATACGGAAGTGGCCATGTATGTACGTTCCATCATCATCAACGCAGCGAGCACACTAATCTTGATTTGGTGTGTAAACAATATTGGTTGGCAATCATTCGAAAGGGATATCGACACAAGGTCGTTGTAAAATGCGTACCATCGTAAAATCATCCATAAATCATGGCTCATCTCGGTTTGAGTGTTGCAAATGCTATACATTGACATGGTATTCGATCAGATGGGTTTGATAAGCAGCATTTGCATTTGACCAAATGAATTCGGTCCTAAATTTTTCATCGAATACCATGTGAAACTAAGTCACTCGAACAAAAATCTAAAAACACACTTGGAAAAATTTGAATTTTACTCTATGTCATTGTGGCAGCCGGTGGTATGTAGATGACATTTTTATTGATCGGCCATGCAAACCTTTTCTACCGTGGCCGACAAACACACAATCAATCCACATTGTAGCAATATGTGACATTTGCCGAAAATAAAACACATACACGCGCGCGCGCGTGCGCGAACACACATTGAAATATTGGACCAGAAAAGACCATCCATCCGAATAATGTGAATCAAAATAAAACGCATACTTAATGTAAATATGGCGTTAAAAGAGAAAGTGAAAGTATAGCACTCGCGATCAGTAGCTCAACGGAGGAGAGCCAAACGGCATTTGTACACTTCTTTTTTTTTTTCATTTGGTTCGTTCATTCATAGTGCACGATTATGATACACTCAAAAAAATGAAATAAAATGAAATAAAATAATACGCAACGATTACGTCTTTAATAAGGTATTATTTCGCATTATCTTACCATTTTTTATACTGTTGTCGTTTCTGTAAGCGCGTTTCATTTTCTTCTGCTTTTTCTTCGAAAAAATAAAATAACAACAACGAAGTAATGAAAAACAAAAGTCAAGCGGTATTACAATTATTTTTAGTTCAATGTGCGGAAAATACGGAAAAACCCCTGCGCATACTGATATACGAGTCAACGAAAATATAATTACCACACAATTAACCAAAAAGCTACACATATTCACTCTCAAACACACACACTATTGCCATTGTCACCGCACTTGAGCTCTCAGAGAAAAGGTTAAGCGGGTCTGAGCCTATTCCATCACGCGTGTCATTAAATTGAATTATCAAATACATGCATGAAAATAGCGGGATGTTGAGGATAAATGTCATTTGTTTAATAATGATAGAATAATTCTTGAGAAGGAAATGGAGATTAAGTGTTGAAATTGGAACATTCCACAAAGAATTTTTTTTTATATAAATCGAATCGAAAATCTACAATAATAAAATAATAATTTCTTTTTTAAATTGCAGGCACAACGTCGCGGATCAACAAGATTCATTTCTAGTCCAGATGAGCTTACAGAATGGGATAGCCACAAAATGGCATCAGACAGCATAAGCAGAGCAGATGTAGTGTTCCATGATAATGCACAGTCGACGAGGCGCGGTCGCTATCGAACGAAAACTGAAAGACCAACAATGTCGTCATCATCACCATCACCATCACCGTCAGTGACAGTATCAGACGATATAGTCGCAGACTTGAAAACAGCCAAAGTGCCGGTATATCGAGTGCGTGGCCGAAATAGAAGCTACAAACAGTACACGGAAAACGAAAAAAATTTAACCGAAACAACAACAGCCAAAGCGAGCGGTGAAAGTAGCAATCGAACGGTACGCCGAAAATCATATCAATCGAATAAACAACGTACAATCACACGTAACGAAAATCAATCAATTGAAACAAATCAAAACAAGCAGAAAGAAGCAGTGTCATCGACGCCTTATCACGCAACGCAAACCACTTCTAGTCGCAAATATCAAACGGAATCGGAATCAAAATCAACAACCGAATTGCCATCAAATCATCAACCGGAAAATCATCGTAAAACCTATGGTGATGTGGCAGCTACAAGAAAATCACCAACTGGACGACGATATCGGATTCGCGTTGTTGATGCCAATTCAATCAATGCCAATGCGGACACAGCGGAAAGTGAAAAGAAGGCGATGTCATTGTCATCAACGACAGCGGCTGATGATGTGAAAACAAAAGCAAAAAAGCCAGACCGTGACGCTGTTGATGAAGAGCTAAACTATCCCGAGCACTTTAAAGCGTTGTTGAAATCGAAAAAATCCACGGCAGCACCATATCAAGTTGGCTCAAGTCGCCCCAATAATTTTGTGTCGAAAAAACAAATCGCTTCGTCAACAGTTGTACCAACTGAACAAACATCCACAATACGACCGACGTATAAGCATAAGAAGATCGAACGACCGAATTTGAAGCTACTTTTCCCTTCGTTACATACATCCACCGGCACAACGACGACTGAATCTACGACTGCTGCATCCACAGCCATTGAAACTGATCAAACAGCAACTGATGAATTCAATACCGAAACTAACGAACCATCGGACGTAACCAGCACAACGGTTAAGATCAAAACTACAGTCAACAAACAAATCGGTGGTTCGAAATTTAGCTCAAAAATCCGAACCGATGGTGGAGTTTCACTGGCTGCGTTCAGACCGCGATCGACACCTTTGGTTTTTGAAACATTGAAGAGCACGACACAACGATCCACTGGTAAACCAGATGTGTTGACCCCAAATCATCGACTCTCTACTGTAAGTTGGAAAAATTTCAATAGATTAGAAGCGATTCTCAGTTGAAGTACTCAACAGTCTAAGCCTTTTCTTACATTTTCACTTCTCTTTCGAATTGAAACGTATTAAGAGACGAAAAAAGAATTCTTCTTCTATGAAAAGAACATTTTTTTATTTTCTTTCCTTCGTAACATTTTTTTTTAATAACAAAAAACGTATATTTGTTCCAGGGACCCGTTCTTGATACACCGAAATTCAGTGCACGTTACAAAAGTGGCGGAGATGCTTCATCATTGGCTGCATACCGAAAGAATTTGATGCGTGAGAAACCACCATTCTATACACCGACGACGCCGCCAATCACGACACAAGTTGTAAGTGATCTGCTTTCATACGAAAAAAAAATGAACAAAATCCACTTCCTCATGAAATAATCAATTTTAAAATCCACAAAAAAAAATAATTAACAAGAAAAAAAATTGTCATTATTTTTCTTTGGAAGAATAAGTTAAGCATTGGTAAAAAGAAAATCAATTCTGCAAAATTTCGGATCTAAGTGACATTTTCCCCGGGTGATTTAAAAAAATAAATAAATAAATGAAACTGACCTTCTATCGTGACTCACTCATTCCCCACAATTCACATTGCTTTATTCACCAAAATATAAAACCAAAAAAGAAAAATCGATCGTTTAGAATTTGCAATTGTTTTTTCGTTTTTTTTTTAAATATAAGCAATTCTGTTTCTTTCTATTCTCTTTTCTTATTTTCTTTTCTATTTTCCAATCAGGCGCTCAGTTCGGAATAACAAAAGACACAAATAATCTCTAGCCATCTCTCTTTGTTTTTGTTACTCTTCCTAAATTAGTTCTTAAATAAAGAGTTCACAGAATACGAAAGCATACGTACACGCATACACATAAAGTTTGATCGATCGCACTCAAAAGAGCGATGGGGTTGTGGAAGAGGTCATCGAAAAATGTGTACAATCGGATTGTGCAGTTGTGCATGAGCAAGTGCATCTTCATAGATTGCAAGCCAGCAACAAACGTGCCTAATTCCATTTAACATGGCAAATTGTTTGGAAAAAAAAGAAGAAGAAGAAGAAGAAAAAACAAAGCAAAACATTCGTTTCCGTTTTTAAATAGAAGAGAAGACAAAATTCAATAAAAAAAATGTTTATTCAGTTTTTATAGTCGTACATAGTACATAATGATAATAATAATAGTATTACGTAAAATAATATTGCATTATGCTAACATTGAATATTTTGTTCGGTTCAAATGCAAGCGTTATTTGTTTATTCGTTTATTATATTATCTTTTATTACTTATTATAATTTTTTTGGGGGGTGATTATGATTATAATTGTGTTTTTTTCTCTCTCTATAAATATAGTCCACAATTTGCTTATTTGCTATAATAAAAAAAAGACTCATTGAGACTCAAATGAATTGATTATTGCTTTCATCCCACATCTTTCACAATATATATACAATTATATGCAGCACGCAATACCTTTCTTTAATCCGAACCTTCACTTTTATTTTTATTTCGTACTATATTGTTTTCTTTACCAATGTTTGGCTTTTCACTTTAAATTTTTCAAAAATTGTGCATTTGTAAAGAGAATTTCATGTTGATGTGAATATTTGCATGTTCGTTGCCTTGGCCGAACAGAATAGAAAATATTCCTTGATCCTGTATATGTAAATTAATCCAAATGAATTTTCTTATTTATTTTTTTTTTCTTCGAATTTTTGTGATTGCCGGCATGACGACGACAACAACAATGACGAAAATGACATACATACACTCGCACGTACACACAGAATGAAATCGATTGGGCGGCATCCGATTACAGTTATCACTATAATGATGTTGAGCCGATACACAGTGGTCTAATGCAGAATCCACCGTTGAATGTGGAAACGTCGCATCATTCGTCGTCATCGGTGACGGTGTCGATATTTGGCGCACTCTCCGAAATCCTGTCACACACCACCGAAAGTCTAAGTTTTTTAACATCAACCACGACCGAATATACACCATTGTCACATACGCATAGCACATTCCTAAGCACACATGACAACCATACCCCGACCCAAATACAAAAAATCCATTCCGATAAACCAAAAACACCAACTATGACTGGCGATAGCACCACCACCACAACCAACACCAATATCGATTCGAACGAATTTCAATTACCGATTTTAAATGCATTCGATTCAAATGAAGCAATCACCAGTAGTAAATCGTCGAACGAACAGGTAGACGCAAAATTAAAGACAAGTAGTTATTCACAATTCAGCACCCAAGCTCAAAATATTGCATTTTCAAGTACCGACGCGTCAAATCTTAAATCAAATCTAAGTGATAGTATCAATGATAATGATTCACCAGTTGGTGTTATTGACCAAATGCATTCACATATGAACCATAGTAATAGTAATAGTGGCGGCATTATGATTGTGCTAGCAACTAGTGATAGGTCATCGATGCAAAGCAATCGTACACCATACGCAATTCAACACACTGAACAACCATTAAAAATGCAAATTAATACGATTTCCGAAATGTTGCTAGACAATTCTACGACACAAACCGATGCAACGGGCACGGAATATGTGTCACAGTCAAGTACACATCGGTCCAAAACCAACAATGATATAGTTATTCCCATTTACCCAGTTTATGCCATTACAACCAATTCCCCAATCATACACTCCCCATCCTCAATTGACAATCAATCACTTTCCACTGAACCTTCGACCATTGATCGTCCCCAACAAACGACGTCAATGCCAATTACAACAACATCAACCACGACGACGACGACAACAACATCGACGAAGGCAACAATAACGGCTACTGTGCCGACGACGACGACTATGACGATAGCTGACCTCAATCTCACTGAGACAACCGAAGAGCATTCATTGAATTCCGTAAATATCTCATTATTCGATCTTGAAACTAGCTACCCCATAGTAAATAATGATGTTAACTTAACTCGACTAAATCAAATGATGACCTTTTTGTTTAACCAATCCCCACAAGAATGGGAACAGACAATGACTAACACTGAACTTACAGTTACTGACTTGAGTACAATAAATGTTGAAAATAATAATGAAGCGACGACAACAATTGGCATCGAAACCGTAACTGAGCCAATCGAAATGCCCTTCGCCATTTTGGATGAGCCTCAAACCATATTAGATATGAATGTGACTGAGGCAAATTCCGTTGAAATAACAACGATCAAGCCGAGTGATGGATTGAGCTCAAATCTAGATGGATATGTGCCTCGCTTCATAAATCGCATTGCCACTCTTCCCATTGGATTTTTTAAGCCGGTTACTCTCAGGGCGGTAACAACAGTAGAACCAATTGAAAATACAAATAACGAAATGACTGAAGAAATGACTGAAGCAACGACACTCAAAGTAAACGATGAAGAAACAACAAAAGCGATTGAAATGCCAGAGATTACAATAAAAAAAACGCTGAATATAAACGAAAACACTTCCACACCGTCTCCATCGAGGTTGATCATTGCAGAATCAAGCTTGCCACAAGCAACTCCATCGACAACACAGCAATCGTTAATCTATCCATTGACAACCACTGAATTCATGAGTTCATCGGAAGAGTCAAATCAAATAACAAGGTCGACAGCACGGAAGAAACCTCGTCGCTTTGACTTTGTTGTGTATGGCATTTTGGCGAATAATACAGTGATTCGAAGGTACCCAGAGGATATCTACGATGATGATAGTGATCATAATGGTGATCGACAAGTACCAATTGTTTATGGGATTTTATCAAATAGCACCGTGCTACGCAAATATCCAAATGGCACAACAACAATCGATGAAAAACGAAGTAGTCGTACATTTGAGATAACAAACATCGATCCGATTAGTTTATATGATCCAAATAGTGCCGTTTACACGCAAATGACATCCAGCGTTCAGGATCAAGCGTCAAACAGCGTTGTCGTCGATTCTAATCCAAATAATCAAATGCGTATGCACAAGAGCACATTTAACTCAAATAATCTAAATACCACTTCAGCTATCATCTCCAATAATAATAACGCTAACAGCATCACTGCGCCACCAACGGTATTTAAACTGCCAATTTTGTAGAAAAAAATGTGTTGTTGTTTTTGTGTATTTCGGTTTTTCTGTATGGGAAGCTTTTTTCAAGTTGATTTACATTTAAGCTGTAGACACGTACAGCACATTCACAACTCGTATCGCTGACGATGAGTGTGCACAGTGCGTTTAGAAGCTTAATTTATATTAAATCGTTCAAAAATTGTAAATTATTTCGATCGGTCGACGGGCCAAAATCAAATTATCAAATTGAAAATTTTCCAAAATTCCCATTATGTTTCGATTCAATCAATTATGCGAGCGAGCGCGAGCGGCGCGGCACACGTTTGGAAGTTCGACAACAGCATTGCTGTTGGATACTGTGTGTGTGTGTGTGTGTATTAGGTAGCTTTTTGGTTGTTATAATTTTAACCGAAAATTGTGTTTTAACAAATATAAACGTGAAAACATCATTGGCATGCCCATCATTGGATTGGAACAAAAAGCACAAGAACTGCTCTCTTTTCCTCTTCCTTGGATGGCTGTTGCTGTATTCACGTTCATACTGAAACTTAACCAATGTGTGTAGCCAAAATGTATATCACTAATAATAAAATGCATCAAATTGCAATGTTCAACACAACATTGTACATGTGATGCACACGGTACAGTAGAAAATGCATACGCTTCGGATTTGTGTTATTGAATTAACCGCAATTCACGTTCCTGATTGAACGTGAATCAATTTTCGTATAACACGTAGAATTGTAAATTGTTTGTACAATGTACATAGGTGTGTATTAGGCACAATGCGCTTCAATGCGGTTGACCATTACTCTTTTTGTTTTTTTTTTTTCATTACATTTTGTTTTGTTTTTTGGCAACGGTAAAAAACATAATATTACTTCACTTTTGTCGCCTAACAATTTTCTTTCTGTTGTGTGTTTGGAAATTTTAGAGCGCGGAACAGTTGGGTGAATACTTGCGTAAAGCAAACAATAGTAAGGTGCAAACAAAATCGGAAAATGTTTTTAGTTTGGCACCACCAACGCTGTCCGGTGTAAGTGGGTTCGGTTCGAAGTATCGGCCCATCTCACTTGACGACTACGATTCACTGGTAACTGATACACATATCCATCGAAAAACAATTCCATTCAAATTTCTGTTTTTGTTGACTGAACTAATAAAGAGTTTTGATCACTTTTTACCCGGTCAATAGCCATCATCAAACGAGGTAACAAGTAATGAATCAAGTTCGACCGTCGGCAACATTGATTCCGATCCATTTTCATTGAGCGCTGAACATGTTGACAACAAACAACCATCCGTACCAATAACGGCAACCAGCCCAAAATCAAATCGCGAATACATAACATCGTTCACAACCACAACGACAACAACTCAAAAGCCGCACATCGAAAAAGGGGTGAAAATCATCCGGGAATTGGTTGAGCAGGCACGAACAACCGAAGAACCGGACACCAATCGACCAATTCAATCGTTGACCACAACAAAGAGCATTGCAAAAGAAAAACCAGTGACAACACACAAACCAAAAGCCACATCAGCCCCAACAGTGCCAGCAAATCATCGACCGACTTGGGTAAGATATTTGCTACTTTTCCGACACATCGATGCATTTTTCATTTTCCATGTTCCATCTCTTTGTGTGTATATGCACGAAAAGTGTATTGCGAAAATTGTGCACGGGAAAAATCACAAAACTGCTTCCGAATATTCTACATAATAGAAACTTATCGGAGTTTTGACCACCGAGCCATATATTACTTTGTACAAATTAACGCAGTCTCGATGCAAAAGAGTTTGTTTGATACATTCAATGTGTGTGTGTGTGTGTTGAATATTTCAGGCGATGGAAAGTACATCGAGTCGTCTGCCAGCAAATCATAACTTTGACGGAATGGACAAAACGGAGAAAATCACGGAAAATATTGCCAAAACAACTTATCGTTCAACAAGCCCTCGAACGACAAGCAGAGCAACCACAAGCAGTGGCAGCAGCACAACAACGACAACAACGTAAGTGATCGAGTATCATGTTTAGAAATTCATCTCAATTCGTAAAAATATGCTTCCGAAAAATCTAATATCGGGCGGATGGAACACAAAAATTTAATTAGATTTGTGGATATAATGGCGAAATAGAGAAACATAGCGATTGATTTTGTGGAATTTTGGTTCCTGAATTTGGTTTTTTTGTTTTGTTTTCAGGCGAGGGGGAAATATGCGTTCGTCAACAACGGAGAAAATGAAAATAGCAAGCAGCACAGTCCAAATACCAATCAGTATCAATGATATTGAAGATTTATTGCAAAATATTCCGACAACAACGCGTCGAGTCAAACCGACAACCACCACCGTTCGCCCAAAGCCAACCACACCGGCTGCATCAGACAATGATGATTTGAACTTTTTGCGTCAAGTGGTGAGTGAACCAAAAGAGAAAAAAAAAAACAGTATTTTTGCTTTCGTTTGCATAATAATCCACTTCAGGTCGTTTGCAATGGCCGTCTTTGTGCAAATACCGTTTCTCTCTCGCTCTGTGTATGTACATGTGTAATCACATTGCGATGTTTCGCATTCTCTTTCTTTTTCGGTTCTCCATTGCTACTTGGTGTGCACGTTGCGTGTGCAATTGTCAGCAACGTCTTTTGCAGCGTCCAACATCAACCCGAATGCCAATTCAAACGAAATCGACAACGTCAACTTCCGCAATAAACACTAACCCTGGTACCACCACCACCACCACCACCACCATCAGCAGCACTAGCAGCACACCGAAATTGGAAATTTACATGTTATCGAAAAATAAGAACGAAAACAACGGGCCCACATCAACTTTCGATGATTTATTGAATAGCTTTCAAAAGGAACCAACCACCACCACCCGTCGACCCCAATTAACAACATTTTCCGATGCAGATGATATTGCATTTTTAAAAGGATTAGTACGGATTAAAACGTTCCGCTTTTTTTCTCATTCAGTTTGCTCTTTTTCTTTGTGTCTATCGCTTTTATCCTCCTTCTTCCTTTTCTTCTACTTCCATACTTTCAAATTGGATTACAGGCAGCCAATTTGTTGAAACAAGATTCTAAATTGAGGTTCATTCAATTTCTCTCTCTCTCTCTCTCTCTCTCTCTCTCTATAGCGTCAAATTGCAGTTGACACAAGCACTACAAAAACAACACGCAATCCGGACTTTGCAAAACAAATCATCGCTCAATTGGGGCTCAATCAAACATCAAATACTCCAGAGACGCCATTGAATGCGGATGGATATCCACGAGTGCCGACTGTCAACCGGGTCGAAATTGAGAAAAACAAGAAAGATGTTGCGTCACTAAACACAGACTTACAACTGCTATCCACACTGTTGGGACGACCCATTTCACAGAAGGATATACCGCAATTATTGACGAAGCAAGCAAGCACACAAGCACCGACTTCAACGACCGCCCGAACAACAACTGCCACAAAAACAACCGTTAGCCCGAAAATTATACAGGAAATCGAATTGCTGCATCAAATCGCCAAAAAACCAGACCAACCAGCTCCAGATAATGATTTGACATCAACCGATGAATTGGCTGCCATTGATCCAAGCGAAGCATATGGAAAAACAAACGATGCACTTCTGGCTACGTTGCTGAAGCAGCGCGGCATTGGACCAGCTCACAATAATATTCCATTGAACATCTACTCGACAACAACGACGCCTCGGCCGCGATATCAAACACCATCGCGATCGCCGCGCCCACTTCTCGATGGGCTCTCGTGGTTGTGGAAACAGTGGCAAGGTAAGGCCGAGAAGGGAGGTAACAATGCAAACAATGGAATTTGCGTGCGAATATAGGACCAAACCAAAAGATCATCATTATTTAGGTTCAATCATCAATAGTATGAAATTTTGTCAAAAATGAACGGGTATGGCTCAACACGTCAGTTCAAACTTCTCGAATAAGCTAATAATGCAGAACTTCTTGGTTTGGACCGATTTTCATTAGTAACTCGAAATTCCATAGAGAGGATAGAGAAAGAAAAACTTTTGTTGTCGAACATCAGTGTAATCATAGTTTTATGTTTTTTTTTTTATTTTTGAAATTGAAGATACGGCGCCAGGTCAAGGAGGCTATGCACCACAGTCGTCACGAACTCGCACACGAGGTGCGAATAGTGAAACAGCGGCAGCAGCAGCAGCAACAGCAACAGATAGTGGCACGAGTTTCGACCATTTTGACGATGGATTAGACTCGGACACATCATCAGTATGTGTTTAATTCATTTACACAGACGACGGACTTGGTTTATTTCTCTAGGTTTTCTTGGTACTTTTTTTTTCTGAATTGGAATTATAAGGGCAAACATCGATTTTTACAAAACTAAATATCGTTAAATGTCAGTCAAACATGTTCGAAACTGCATTAAAATGTGTAAAGTCAAATCATAATGGTGAGATAAATGAAATTTGTTGGTTTTAAATGCAATTTTTCAAAATAACAACGATCACAGATGATTTAAATGAGACCAAAATGCTATGCCAGAAAAATAAACCACGCGTCGTGTTATTATATTTCGGTAGTATTTGCAAACATTTGTTTAAATATTAAAAAAAACAAAAATTTCTATTTTCCATCAAAACAGATACCGTTAGATCAATCACACACCACTAATGGTAATAGTGGTTTTGGTTTTGGTTTGCCCGGTGGAGGTGGACAGCTGTTAAGTGCTGCATTGGGTGTCACGAAGCTAGTTACAAACTTTTTGGGCTCCGCTCTGCAGGTAAAATCTCAATTGCCGCGTGGTTTTGTATCAATCAAAAATATTTGAATGGCACACACACAAGTACATTGAAATTGAATGACATGTTTTTTTGTTTGGGATATTGTAGGGTGCAGGTAAAACATTCCAATCTGCGTGGTCAACACAGGCCTTTGGTTCAGCTGGCGGTGGTGGTGGTGGTGGCATCGGTGGCGGCGGCGATTACTTCCGATTAAGTGGCTGAAATCACACGCAAACATCGCCATTCGCTAGCACACACACGAAAACAAATTGTATTTACATCGACAACAAATAGAAACACGATTTACTTGGTCGTCAATTGCGAGCCAAGCAAAGCGGAAATGTTGAACCAAATGACAGATAA